TCCAACGTCGAGAGACTACTTTGGCCTGGCAACTCTCCAGACTGTAACTGTATTGAGCCATGCTGGTTCTACATGAAGAGAGAGACTACAAAGAAAGGAGCTCCACAGTCAAGAACGGAGGCAACTAGAATCTGGCTAAATTGCTGGAGAGATCTCCCACAAGCTAAGATCCAAGCTTGGATTGAGCGTATTCTTATACATATTCCAAAGATAATTGAGCTACAAGGTGGTAATGAGTATATAGAGGGGAGAGATAGGCGTTGTGTAGGAGAGCGGCCAGATTTCGGCTAAATTATTCTTGGCAGGACAAAACTTTTGTGAGGCACCTCCGTAGTTACGCTGCAAAAAAAATGACTTGGATAACTACCACTCTACTCATACATTTAATCTCTACATACTATTTCTGAGTGAAATAATTCTGCCAGCAATGTCCCTCAGCATTGGGATAAATAGTCATGCCTTTGTTTTCATGGTCTGACTGTGGGCGTTGATACTCATGTCCAGCAATTTAGCAATATTTCCAACAACATATTTTCCAACGTCAAGTTATAACAGCAAACAGGAAAAAAAATTCAGCACATCCCATCCACACTCATTTTCTTAAAATCAAATGTCGCAGACTATTTTTCAAGTACCGGAATGTATTACTTGATATTTTATTATTATTATGGAGGTATAGTTGATGTTGTTGTGGTGCCAAACCTCCATGAGTGCTGCGTTAGGAAAGGACGCGTCAAGGCAGCGCGCGACAACGAGCAGCACCATCACCACGACCACTACTATTTACAAGGGAATTGTTGCATGAAAAACACACTGTATTTCTTGTACAACACATATGAATTCAGTCAAACCTCAAAATCTGCAAAGCGCACATTTTGCGTTACATGGTCCATTACCACCACGTGCTACTAACATGTGGCACGGCAACGCGCAGCAGCAGCCAGCATGGCTCCCAACGCGTCGCAAACCCGAAAAAAACAACAGGACGCGCGAACAGAAAAAAAAACGAACAACGCCCACCAATGCATCATGCTATAATAATCATACACCATTAAATTCTTTTTTGGTTGCTGTCCCATCCCAAAACGCAAGCAGAACTAAATCAAGCAAATGCAAGCATGCATAAAATGTCTAATTCAGTGCGTTTGGACCGCATCTCGCACTTCCCGCCTCTTCCCCTCCCCACCGTCGACATGTTGCTCCGCCCAAATGCCGTCATGCACCAAAATGAAACATTCAGAATGTACAAGACGAAGAAAAAACAGAGACGGAAAACCACATTTATGTCTACAAGAGCATCTTCCTGGGGTCCTCAATGTACTCCTTGACCTTGACCAGGAAAGTAACAGCCTCCCTTCCGTCGAGTAGTCGGTGGTCGTACGTGAGGGCAAGGTACATCATCGGCCTAATCTCAACCTTTCCGTTGATGGCGACGGGTTTCTCCTTGATAGCATGCAGACCAAGCACGGCGGTTTGTGGGAGGTTGATGATGGGGGTGCCCATCAGACTGCCGAAGACACCACCGTTGGAGATGGTAAAGGTGCCGCCGGCCATATCCTCAATCGTCAGCTTGTTGTCGCGCGCCTTCTTGCCGAGGTCGGCGATGGCCTTCTCAATGCCGACCATGTCCATGCTCTCAGCATTCCTGACGACCGGTGTGACGAGACCCTTCTCCGTGGCGACAGCAACCGAGATGTCGACGTAGTCACGGTAAACAATCGTGTCGCCGCCATTGGGACCCTCAATCGAAGCGTTCACAGCGGGCACGTCACGCGCGGCGAGGATGCAGGCGCGAGAGAAGGCCGACATGAAACCTAGCTTGACACCCTTGTTCTTGAGCACTTCGTCCTTGTAGAGCTTACGGAACTCCATGATGGACGACATGTCGACTTCGTTGAACGTAGTCAGAGACGCGGCAGTGTTTTGCGATTGCTTCAGGCGCTCGGCAATGCGGAGACGCATGCGGTTCATCTTGACCTATGGTAATTGTCAGCACACCTGTGGCGCAACAAAGAACTGGAATGGACATACACGGCGCTCCTCACGGCTGCCAGGGGTTGCGGGCTTGGGCTCCTCTGGCTTGGACTCCTTCTTGGGCGGCTGGGGCTTGGATTCCTGCTTGGGCGGTTGGGGTGTCTCTTGCTTGGGCTCTGGCTTGGACTCTTCCTTGGGCGCCTCGGGCTGAGACTGCTCCTGCTGGCCTTCTGGCTGCGACGACGTCTCCTGCGACTCCGGGGCGGGCTCCTTGGGCTGCTCGCTGGCCTCCTTCTTTCCACCCTCGGGCGCGGCGCCAGGCTCGAGCCTCACAATTTCCTGTCCAACCGTGACAGTGTCTTCCTCGTTGACGAGGAACTCCTTGATGATACCGGCCTCGGGCGCATTGACGGCCACGTCAATCTTGTCCGTCTCAATGGTAGCAATCTCCTCGTCCTGCTCAACATGGTCGCCGACCTCTGCACATGACGTTAGCTACACGCACAGGCGGGCAGTGGGCATTGAGCGCACGCTTTGACCATTGCTTGAGGGTGCCCTCGGTGATGGACTCGGCCATGTCGGGCACCTTGACGATAGTGTCGGCATAGGTTCGTATGTGGTCGAGTGTGCATAGGCGCTGTGTCGAGAGCTGGCCCGGCCGCCTGTATTGGAGTCAGTAAGCGGCAGGCTGGAGGCGGGGGACACGGGCGGCACCTTGAAGCCTGGCTGAGGAGGCCAGACGAGTTTGCCCTGGCGACGGCCGAGTAGGTGCGCGCAGCGGGAGTGCTTCGTGGGCTGGGGCGCAAAGCTCGCACAGAGCGCATGGCCGCGGGCAGGCGGCGGAGACAGTGCTGGCCTGACATGGTGGGCAGGGAAGCGAGGACGGCAAAAGAAAAAGAATCCAAGGACGGGGTGGCAGCGAGATGGACGCCTTGGTGTGTGTGTTTGTGCAGCAGCAGCGGGGGGGCAGTGAGGCAATTGTAGGAGTTCTGGTCTGAAGCAGGCACAGACAGATGCAAAGCAGGGCACCCACACGCCGCTTTGCTCTTCTGACCACCGGAAGCCAGCCGCCGTCACAGGCACGCCTGCCAAGCCCGCGACCTCAACCCTAATCAACACGCCCATTCCGCATCTGCGCGACGACAGCGAGCCATTGCGGCCACGAACCACGACCCTCGCGCCCATCCGCCCCGGCTGTCCACACACCGCTCGCGAGCCATCGTCGCCATGAGCTCCAAAACACACGTCCTGTACGCCCCTCGCCCCGCGCCCCCCCCCGCCAGCACGCGCGCAGAGACTGACCAGGCCGCAGACGCCTCTACAGGCGATCCCTCAAGCTCGCCCTCGACTGGAGCGTCCACCGCTACCTCTGGCGCGGACAGGCTCTGTACATCCGCGAGCTGTTTGAGGCCAAGAGGCATGTCACAGAGCCTCGAGTGATGCGCGTACGTCTCTCGACGACCTCTCGACGACACATACATACAGACCGACGCAAACAAGCGCTGACGGCCTGCACAGGACTTGATCAAAGAGACAGAGGAGCTGCTCGAAAAGTGGAAGCACCCGGATCCTTACCGCCCGCCCACGGCTCCTGGAGGTTCGTTCCCGTCCCGGATACTTTTCCGCATCGGCCGCGGACATGACGATACTGACGGGTTCCCTAGGCTCAAAGTACGAGCGCAACCTGCCGTGCCCAATCACCGACCGTGAGTTTGCCATCCATCTTGTTTCCACCACAACACAACCTGACGCTCTCCAGCTCCGCCAAAGATGATCTTGTAGTCGTTGCCATGGAAATCGGCAGCAGAGTCAACGTGTGCATTTTACAGCGACTGTGCGACACCACAGTAGTACGCAATAAGACAGTCAAAGAAGCCTGCCGTTCATTGTCCATCATGCCCCGTCTATTGTTTCCGTTTGGTCTTGATTGCTCTAACTCGAGTCGATGCAGGTTGATGAGTGTATTAGGTCTGAAACTTCCTCACCCTGCGTACAGTGTTTAGGTATCCCATGCCCTCTACGACGTCCTCTCTCTCCACCCAGAGCGGTGCATCTCCGAGCGCCTTTGATACCCCCGTATCCTTCGCCTCTGCGCTTGCTTCCGCCCATGCGTCTTCCATATATGCCCATTCTGGCATCTCACAGCAGCCCCCAATCAATATGGTTTTTTCGCGTGCCAGGTTGTACAGCATTGACTCGTGCGTCTTGGGCACCAGAATTTCGACGACCTTCTTCTCTGGGTTGAAGCCGCGGATCATTGCAGTGCAAACCAGCTTCGTTGTTCGCGGGTCCAATGGCTCCACCATACCGAGATGTGCAGATTCCGGGAAGAAGGGGATCTGAAGTTTCTTTGTCCGCGGAAGTGATGTATAAGGGGATGGCACAGCCGACGACGACGACTGGACAATCTGCACAATAGACCCATTCAGCGCGTGCACCAGAGAGGCAGGCTCAACGAGTTCCGAATACATTGCGAAACCGACTACATCTTGCATCCGCTCATCGCTCTCTTGATAACAAAACTCCCAGGGTACGAGGTGCGACAGCGGCTCAGAATTCCACCCCAGCACTCGTGCTTGGCCATTGCTCGCGTTGCTGCTTTTGAGGTGGAAATAGGACTGCATCTGCATGGCGCCAAGTTCCGCATCCGTCCTCAGCAATGGAAGCTGTGGCTGTTGCGCAGTGATTTCATGGACTGCGCCATGGTATTGCGACGCAGTGGTTTGCAGCAAGTGCAGTCTTGCTGCGGTTTCGGTATCGATGGCGCACGTATCGCCAAGGTGAATTACATTATGTGGTCTTAATTTTGCCAGGAGCCTGTTGAGTAGGTCGAACTGCTGCGAGTAGAGGAAGCTAGGTGTATCGACGACCAGGGGTAGAGAAGAGTCCCGAGAGTGGAGAGTGCGATATGCCAAGACAAGGTCCTCAACACATGCTTCATAGTAATCCGAGTAGTTGGCCAAGTCTGCTGGGATTGGGTGCGTGCGAACCATGTCGTTTGTGGCAGTCGTATCTTTTGGTTCGGGTACGACTGATGGGTGGGCGAAGCTTGGGCCAAGATTTAATTGTCGGACGATGACGAGGGAGATTTGACCTCCAGGCGTATACTCTTGCTTCCTGGGGTCGAGGTCCATGTAGCACACGGCCGGCACGGATGGAGCAGTCTTTCCTAGACCTGTCAGGTAGCGGTTGATGAGTCGCCTGGCAAACGTTGATTTTCCTGAGATCGGGGAGCCAGTAACTGCAGTCATAGACGGGCTACTGGCACAATCCTCCACTGAGCGAAGCCAATCTTCTGGAGCCAGTTCGGGGTGCAATGGCCGGGAAAGCGCATCGGCATCTGATTGAGTAACCTGCGGGTGCGATTAGATTCAACATGGAATATAGTCCTTTTAAAATCTGTTTGGCCTCATGGCGTATCCTATGCATGTAGTCTAGGGAGAGCGGCACTTACAATGCAAAAAGATCTCCCCTTTTCTATTTGCGAATCAGCGTTCCATATATTACCAAACATTGGACTGATGCTGGAAAGTGGTGTCGGAACTCTGCATGACCGAAACAGGACGTGGTTTGTGCCGTCTAGTCCACGAATCTTGGATATAGGACCGGTGGCTGGTACATAGGCTCGATGCACTCTGTTCTTTTGGCCGTCTTGACCAACTGTACCAATGTTGGCGCCATTGACATGAATGGCGCCTCTTAGCACTGTAAACTCAAAACAGCCCACGAGCGCAATCGTCGTGTGTTTGGGCAAATTGATGGTGAGCTCGGTGTCGGTGTCTGACAGGATGTTCTGGGGTTCGCTACGCCAGTTGCAAAGCTTGAGGTTGCGCTGTACAGGCACATTTTCCTCATCAGTGTCTGAATCTTCAGACTCGGACTCTTGTTTCTTTGCTACCGGACTTGGTGGTGCAGAAATCTGCTCAAGTGTGACTTGGGGTGTGTTCACGACTTTTGCTGCAGCCTCCGTTCTAAGGCGAGCCGCCGCAATCGCCGTAAGCGGCTTCCCACTGGAGGGAGCAGATGCAGCGCCATCTTCCCCTCTCTTTCGTTTTGCAGACATCCTGAGGGCCAGTATTGATGTTGGTGTTCTGGTCCCAGCGGCTGACCTGTGGTGGACGGAGACGAATGGATTTTGCCTGGGTCGCGCGCGCGGTCCGAAGTAGACTAGCGCCAATGTGGCTGGAGGTCCGCGCGCAAAAAGTTCCAACTGAAGCAGGTCACTTTCTGGGCGCAAAGAGCACAGCTCGCCACACACGCCATGAAGGAAATGAAGAAGACAAAGGTGCCGCTGCCTGTTTCCAAGCCGAAACAGAAACCGCAGAACCCTCCACCCAAAGCGCAATTGAGCCAAGAATTCATCGATAGCGACGACGATTCCCACACTGAGAGCACCGCGCAACCAAAGAAGGTCGACAAGCCCAAAACCACCATCGGCATTCATGTCAACGGCGTTGCCAAATCCAAGTCCAAGCCCAGCAAGACCGATGCGCCTTTGTCCAAACCGACACCGAAACCCAAGGCACCCCCGAAAAAACCGGCGCCAAAGCAAATCGTGACGGAACGCGATGTTGAAGACCTTTCGAGCTCCGAAGTGAGCGACGATGACGCGCCGACCCGAGATATACAGACCAAGCTGCCGGGGAATGAAGCGGGCAAGGAGATTTCAAGCGACAGCGACAGCACAAGCAGCTCAGACGACTCCAGCGACGAGTCGGATACTGACGATGCGGCGCAACCGAAGCAGAACCCGGCACCACCACAACCCCAGGCACAAGCACCACCACCAGCGTCGCACGTGGTTGATTTCCAACCGACACAGGCTTACGTCCCCCCCAAAGGGTTCAACCCTGTACCACTAAACGACAAGACCATTTCAAGAAGTACGGACTTGTTCGCAAACCTAGAGGGGAAGCAGGTATGGCACATTACTGCCCCCGCAGGTGTCTCGTTGAAGGACCTGAAGCACTTTGCAATGGACAAGGTCACAAAAGGAGAGGTGGTCCTGAGCCACAAGGGTACCGACTATGCTTTCTCTCAGTCGGAGAAGAGCGAGGATGGCGCACGGGCAGTGTTTGTTCCTAAAAAGGACGGAATGAAGCCAGGTTTGTGTTTCGTATCTTGCCAACAAAGAGTGTGCTGACTGTTTTAGTATCTGCCCGGATAGCAAAGACACTGCGGTTACAATCTGTTGTGCGAATACCCAAGCTCAGCTCTCAACAAGCCGACCAAAACACAGGCTCAGAAGCAGCAGCCTCGATAACGCGATCTACTATTCGAGCACCACGACCCCAAGTCACGGGCCTGAAGATGCGATTCCTCCCCATAGGGTTTACAAGCACGGACGGAGGGGTTCTCGGCGACTCAGACGGCTCGGCTGAGCCGGCTCGGGAAACAGCCGCGCTGGAGGCTACCAAACAGTCCAAGAAACAGAAAAGGAAGCATGCCGATGTAAACGGCGGGGAGACAAGTGAAGCGCCATCGAAGAAAAGCAAGAAGCACCAGGATATGGAAGACGCCAAGAGGAAGGCGGACAAGAAGGCCAAGAAGGAGAAGAAGCGCGCCAAAGAGGCTTCATGAAGCCTTTGCTTGAGAGGGGATCTGGTTTGAAGGATTTGCGCGGAGAGCTCCAATCGCCCGTCATGGCACAGAGCGAGGCAGCGACTAGGGTGGACCGAGGGCAGGGAGCGTCGCTTTGCAAGCCAGTCGGCATACACGTGGTGCATGAGCGAAGGTGGCCAGGGATGTTGGGGATGGCAATGTGCCGTTGACATTGAAGTCAGGCGGCGAGGGCGAGACGGAGGGCACGCACATTACCTTAGCTACGTAGGCCAGGGCGGCACAATGACAAGCACGTGCAGCCGCGTAGCATCCCAGCCTGATTTTCTTTTTGCTACGCGATGCACACGGAGCCTCGGCAACGAGCAGACGGATAGGGGCGAGATGGGGATACAGCAGCTGGCCACGGAGGGTGTTGGGCGCGGGTGGCTTGCAGTGGCAGGGCGGTATCCAGGCGCTTGGGAGCTCGGGGAGACGAATTGACACTAGCGCCTGGGGCTAAACAACGCGCGCTCTGTTGTCACTGACAAGGCCAGGCCATCACCGCATTCTGCGAACTTTTTGCCTTTCTCGCAGCCCCGGCCGCTGCACCATGCTCATGAGCAGGCCTCGTGGCTCCCATCCTCCCCGCGACTACCCCGCCTGCCACTGCCGCTGCTCCTGCCCCCGCCGCTGCTGCGAGCGCTCCCGCCGCCATGGCCTCCTCCACCGACGCTCGCTCCTCGCATGGTGCTGAGCCCTCGCAAACACACGAAACCGCCTCGCCCTCCTCGACGCCCACACACACACCCGCCGACAAGAGGCACATGGCGCACCGCCGATCCCACGCCGACCACGGCCAGGCCTTGGAACCGCCCTACTCGGACCTGCCCACCATCTCAATCGAGCACGACGACAGCATCCTCCTCGAGGCCGCCCCCGACGACGACGCGCCCCACGGCGAAAGCGTCTTTGACGATGGCGAGATGAAGCGCCAATTGATGGATATAGAGTCCAGCTTCATCCCAGAGGCGCCCATACACGCCGAGGCGCCACAGGGGCTGCCCGGGGCCGACGATACCTATCTGTTCGGTGGCTCGCCAGGCAATTCGCAGCAGTCGTCTCGTCCTGCCTACTCCGAGTCAGCCATGCGCAGAGTCATGGAGAGCCTCGAGGAAATGACCAAGCCCAAAAAGAAGCCTAAGAAGCTTGAGGTGCGCAGTGGGCACACGCCGACCAAGTCGCAGCCCGAAATCTCCTTTCAGGCCGACTCCCCATCCTTCTCAGATGCCCCTACACCTGCCGGCGCCTACAAGACGCCTGCCGTTCGCCCCCTGGATTTTGGCCACGACGACTCCATGGACGCCGACATGTCCACCTCGGATGTTGCCCCTTCCTCGCCCTCCGCACAAGCAGCGCAACGGAGCATGTCGCGCACTTCTGCCGAGCAGGCTGCACAGCACGAACAAGACGACGATGTTGGCTCCGGTGACGAGGACACCGGCGCAGGTGCACAGGAGAAAGAGGGGGATATGCGGCGGCCCACCTCTAGCGCTTCCACGGTCAAGGCCCCTGATTTCACCCAAGCCGAAGACGGCTCCTCGCTCACAAGCACAAACGACTCGAGCATGGACAGCTCAGCCATGCCTCCGCCGTCTGCTCCCGCAACCGCCCAAAAGGTAAGTACACGACCAAACTACCTGCAACACCGCAATTCGAGCCAGCGGTCGTCCGTGTCGTCCTTTACCAATCGCTCGGACGCATCTGGAGACGGCGTCAGTACAGAAAGCCTAGGTGCCGACTTTGCCCTCCAGACTGGGGGTGCAATCCCGCGTTCGAGCGGACCACAGAAATCGAGCATTGGCCTATCCCGACTGCCGAGTTTGGGTAGCATCGCATCCTCCATGTCCGGATACAGTGACACTAATCCTTGGGACAAGGGTCGGAGCATCAGCAACAATTCGCTATCAGCTTTTCTTCAACCAGACAATAGCCTGGGTCGTTTAGACGAGGAGGCGCCAGGCAGCGCAACACCACCCGAGACGCCGCGTGCTCCCAGCGTTCAACCCGCTGCACCTACGGATACCGTCATTGCTAGACATGTCCAGGATATCCAGGTCCCTGACTCTATTGCCCGCGACTTCCGAGCTAAGCACTCGCGATCCCCTGACAGACGGCACATGGCCACCCCCTTCACGCGGAGCAAGCACAATCTGACGCTCAAGGAGCAAAACAGCAAGATTGACAAGCTAAGCAAGGAGAATTTTGATCTCAAGCTGAAGATTCATTTCCTCGACCAAGCGCTTCAGAACCGGTCGGATGAGGGCGTTAAAGAGATGATTTCAAAGAATGTTCAGCTGCAAACCGATCTAGCCACCGAGAAGAAGGAGGGCCAGTCGATGCGCAAGAAGATCAGGGATCTAGAGCGTAGGCTTAAGGCCCAGGAAGAAGGATCTGCTAACGCCAAGGATGTCACCAGCGGCTCCGACGATGACAAAAGCGAGCCTTCTTCGAGACAAGCAGAGCTCGAGGAGGAGATTGAGTTTCTCCGGGAGCGTCTGGAGTCTACGGAGATTACTGTCGATCAATGGCAACAGGAGGCGCTTCAAAAGGAGGCCGACAATCGACGCATGGCGGACTACATCAAGGTAATGCGGGAAAAGGGGCCGGGCGGAGATTCGACCGGTTTTGACGAAGCCATCAACATGTGGAAGGAAGACTTTGAGGATGAGCGGGCCAGGCGCGAGCAAGTCGAAACGCGCTGTCAACAAGCAGAGGCAGAAGCAGACCAGCTTCGCGAAGAGATTCAGCGTCTAAAGGAGCAGATCCAGCAAATGCAACAACATTCCATGCCGACCCACATGAACAAAACTTTCAACAATTCGCGGCGCACCCAGCAACCCTTTACTGCACGCTCAAATGCAGATTCTGATGGTAATGACCATGTTGTATCAATGTCGACTGGCGGTACAAGTGGCACGCTTGTGGAGCAACTGCAGAGCGACAATGAAAAGTTGCAACGAGACTTGCACGCACAAGCGTCCATGCTTACCTCGAGAAATCGGGAGAATCTTCGGCTGAGAGAAGAAAATGAAGGGTTGAAGCTCACAATCAGGAGGGGAGACACTGGGTCGACTACTGGTGATAGCATCCTGGAGCGCTCCATTTCTCGCAATCACATGCGATCTGTCTCACGAGCAAGCGGCGGCACGCGCGGCACGCAAGATCCTGACCAAGAGGATCTTGAAACCAAAAATGCGGCGCTGCGCGATGAACTGTCGCATTTGAAGCTTTCATACAAAGAGCTCGACGATCAGCTGAATGGCCATCTTGACATGCTCGAGACCTCTGAGAACAAAGTAAGAGAGTTGGAACGAGAGATTGAGGCGCAGACGGAAGATCTCCAGGCCCTGGCCAACGAACGTGATGAAGCGCTGGAGTTGCTGCAAGACAAGGAGCAAGAATGTGAAGAGTTGCGACAGGAAGCGCTCGACACGGTGCAGCGACTGGAAATCGAACTCGAGCAGAAGCAAAACGAGCGCGATCGCCTCTGCAATGACTTGGAGAACACCACGGAAGATTTCCACGCTTTGCAGCAAGAAATGAAGAACGTCAGCGAAAGCCTTTTGCAACTCGAGGACGACAGAGACGCCAATCTGCGCAAGATCCAGAACCTTGAATCTGAGCTCAGCGACGCCAATGAAGAGTTGAATAGGCAAGACAAGGTAATTGGCGAGGAGAGGGCCAAGAATGAGCGACTAGACATTCAACTCGAGTCTTGCCAGGGTGAAATCGACTTCCTACGAGAAGAACAAGAGAGTGACAAAATCAAGATTGGCGAGCTCGAATCTGCCCTGAACCACACTCAAGTCTCACTGCAGGAGGCTAGAGAGCGTTCTCGAGACCTGGAGCAGCGTATGATCGAAGAAAGGCAACAGCGTGATGCTTTGGAATCTCAGGAGAAACAAGAGGTGGAAAAGATCATTACGGATCTCAACACCCAACTAACGAAGCTCAAAGAGGATTGCAGGAAGCTCCGAAAGACCCTCTCCACTACGGAAGTCGAGGCTTCGACTTGGAAGCAACGGCATGACGAGTTTGAGCATACTCTTCGGGAGGCCCTTGGCAACCTTAACGGTACAAGGGCAAGCCTCTTCAAGGTACAGATTCATATCCCTACATTCAGCGTTTCACCTACTTACAGATTGTGTAGGACATTGGGAAGCTCCAGCGAGATCTCCAGTCTACTACGCAAGAACTCGATGTCGTCAAGACAGACCTTGCAGAGAAGGACCGACTCCTGCGCAACCGCGATACGCTCTTGGAAAACACTGGCATGGAAAGCCGTCGCTTGGCCGAGCTTCTTGAGCGCGAGCGCCAAGCGCGTCGACAAGATGTAGCAGCCTTTGAGAACGCAAAACGCGCTCACCAGTCTACTGTTCGAGCGGTTCAGCAGCACGAAGCCAAAATTGTCGAAATGGAGCATCTTCGTAGCCAGGACCGTCATAGGCTTCACAATCTGGAGAAGCAGTACAAGGAGCAGCTGCTTGAACGCAACAATCTTTTGTATGCTCTATGGAACCGCCTGTCCACGCTCTGTGGTACCGAGTGGTCCCGTAACAACGCCCTTGTCAACGGAGAGCTTACTTCAATGGAGCTCATTTCGAAGAATGTCAATGGCTTCAACAAGAACATCATCTTCGCGGTGAGAACCGTCGAGGGAATTATTGGTGGCTTCAAGCAACGAATCCGCAACATTGAGAAGGATCTCATTCGCGACTACCAGACGCTTGAACATACTCTCGACACTCGCGTCAAGAGGCTTGATCAGCTTGAAAAGCTTGTCATGGCCCAACGACAGTCGATTGGAAGACCCAGCACCGTACGTGGTGGTATTGTTGATCTGAACACAGCAGAGATGAACAAACTCCGGACAGAGAACAAGACTTTGCGAGCCGAAGTCCAGACCCTTCGCGCTATCACTACAACGACGCAATCAGGGAACGACGTGATTCTCAGTCGTTCTCCGTCGAGGGCTGGATCGCCCAGCTCCTCCAAACGCGCCAGCATGGCACAAACACTTTTGCGTGCACAGTCTGCTTCCGTTGTCGAGCACGTCTCTTCCTCGGGTCCTGGTCATCCCTATCCTGCTGCTGGACCTCTTCAGACCAGTGAGCAGAAGTGGATACATCGCCTCAAGGAACTGGAGCGAAGGCTGAAGGCCGAGCGAGAGGCGCGACTGCTCGACCGCAATGGTGCCAGGAAGCGATTGGAGCAGAAAGTTGAAGAGAACGCCGATTTGAGAGCAGCTCTTGAGAAAGAGAGAGATCGAAGGGACGACGATGTCGACATACAACGAAGTGCATCGACGAGTGGAAACCGTGCGGGAGGAAGCGGACGTGCCAGTGTGCTTGGAGGCACTCGGCACACTAATGGCAAAGAGAGGGAAGAAGAAATGTATTAGTACGTTTCAACAGGTTGGGCTTTTCTGTTGTACATTCTTATTACCCCCCTTTTTTCTTTTCTTCTTCTCACTTTTACATCACATCTAGACTCTAGTTGCCACTTTTTTTTCCCTCCGATTTGTCTCTTTTTTTTCTAATTTTTTCTCATGACCTTATGTATAACGAACACACATAGCTTTTTTGGCTGCCAAATTAGGGCGCAAAAGGGTACTAGTGCAAAGTTGCCTTGTTGAGGGTTTTTACTTGGGGTTTTATCTTATGTCTGTGTGTGTATGTGTTGGGGGATCAAAGCTGTCTAGTCATTTGAATGGAATATGCTATCTTTGGTTTGTGATTTTGATACCCGGTCTGAAGTCTGAGATGATTCTTCATGCTTGGTGTGATGGCGTTGTGTCTAACGAGGATGTAGCATGATGTGAGGGAACAGTGGTTAGACAATGATGGTGAATAGGCCTCTAGATCATGTGCTATGCTTCCTTGTTTAGAAAGCGCTCTGCATTGGGTGTACGACATCTCGAAGGCATCTTTGATCAAGGTTTGCCCTGTGTATGTATACTCGAATATCGCTTACAAGCTATACTCAGATAGTTCAAGCATTGCGCTTCATCACTCACATACTCTTATCCTCTAACCCACCATTCTCCGTCCTACCAGCCCCCCCCCGCAAGCCCGCTATTGCACAGCACGTGAGCCCAGCCCCATAGTCATCCGATCCATCTTTTCCCGCGCATCGCAGCAACGCAGAAAAGGCGCGGTCGACTCACCGCTCAGCTCGTCCGCAGCGCATCACTCTCTTCTCATTCAAGTACGCCCTTTCCTGCCCCCCCCCTCCCACCACCACACCACTATCCAGATTTTCACCCGCACACACTGTATCTGCCGTGTTGCGACGATACGTGCAAGATAAGAAGAAAGAGAGAAGAGATAGTTAGAAGGGTTTACTATTGCGGGCTGAAGCTATGGTTTCCAGGCGGAATCTCACTTACAAGCATCAGGTTGCTTCTAAACCTTCGTCGTCTTCTTTCCCGAGCGATGCCCACGAGCAGTGCGCTCCTGTAGCTTCTTCTTCTTCTTCTTCTTATCTCTCGAAACCACCCTCGTCGTCGTCGTCGTTAAAGCGCGAATCAACGCCCCCTCTCTCTCAGCGGGTTTCCGAATCCGATCTCTTCGCCACGCTGCTGTTTGATCGCCAGCGAGCGTACCAAAGGAGTTCTAGCTCGCGACTTGCATCGGACGGAGCAGCGTTTGGTGGTGGTGGTGCTGCTGGTGGAGGGAAAAAAGAATCCACACCCGTGACGCGGAGTTTTGCAGTGCCGCACCAAAGCTCACGACAGTTGCTAGTGGAAGGGTTGAACGGGCAAATGGCGGCGGAAAAAGAAGACGCTTGTGCAAGTGAGTCGGGCCCGCGCAAAAGAGCTATGTCAGCGGATGATGTGGATGAGAGAAAGAAGCGGAAAATGACAGCTCCAGTGGCAGAAGAAGGAGAAGAAGGAGAAAAAGAAGAGTCGGCGGCACCAAGTGAGAGCGAAGAAGAAAGTTCTTCAACTGGTGATTCAAACGACAAGTGTGCTGCTGCGTCTGCACATGGTACCGCCTCGCAGGTGAGCATTACACCGAGCGCGCGCATGCGGAATCAGGGCTGATCTGACGAAGAGTTCTGATGGCACGGCGAGGGTGGGTGAGAGGTCTAGTAGTGTGTCTACAGCGGATTGGGCAGAGCAGCGGGATGTCGTTGTGACGTCTGATGAGGGCGAGGATAAGGACAACGAAGACAACGAAGACGGCGAGAATAGCAGCACTGATACTGAAAACGACAACGGCAACGAAGACGGAAAAGAAGGCGACAACGAAAACGACAACGAAGACAAGGATGACAACAGTACCAGTAACGACAACAACAAGTGCAAAGTCAAACAACCCGATCTCGACAACAACAGTGAACCAGACAACAATTTCCACGCCAGCTCTCCCCAGACCAACCACGCACAAGACCTCCAACACCTCCGCGACTCGCTCTCAGCCGCAAAAGCCCAACTCAATGCTCTCATCCAGCTGCATGAAACAGAAAAGCGCACCTGGGACGCCCACCGCAAGCAAGCCGAGACGGAAGCGGAAACGCGGCACTCAGCGCTGCAGCGCTCGTTCGAAGCCTCGCAGTCGCAGCTCGCAGCTGTGCTCGCAGAAAACAGCGAAAAGGAAAAAGTCATTCTAAAGCTTCGAGAGGAGGCGGCGGCAGCGGCCGCAGTTAAAGCCGTGGGTTCGTCGTCAAAGCAAGATTCATCACAGCCACAGCCACAGCTGCAGCAGCTGCGTAGTGAAAACAGCAAATTGCGACAAGAAAACTCGCGGCTTCGAGACGCCGCGGCGCAACAGCGCCTGACGCCGCGACACTCACCGCCACCAAGTCACCGGGCGACGCTTTCGCCCGCGCCATCAACCTCGTCGTCAGGCGTGTCGACTTCGACCGAGGAAGAGCGGAAAATGAATAACATACGCAAGACGTATACGAGTGTGAAGCTGAAATTTGACCGGCTCAGGTCGATAGCGAAGAAGCTGACGCTGTGTACGCAGTCGATGGATTTGAGTAGTTTTGGAGAGTTTGGAGGGCACTTGAAGAGGTTGAGGGAGGCGCTTGAGGAGGAGGAGCAGAAGAGGGTGGGTGGGGGGCTGGTGTAGGTAGGTGGGTAGGTGATATGCATACAGGACATGGGTAATGGTGATGGCGTTTACGTCTTTTCTCGGGCTTCAAACATCCCCTTTCTGAGTGGTGAAAGGGAAGGGATGGTCACAGAGAACACAGAAAAGTATCGAGGCTGGTAAAAAAAGAACATGATATCCTGTGTCTGACCGCTAGTGAAAGGAATAGTCAATACTCCGAATCTTGACCTAAAGCCCAAATTTGCTCTTGACAGCACCCATGACAAAGCCCCTTTTTTGTTTGCCCACAAACTTGTTGACGTCGTTGGCCCAGCCAGCGCTGTTATGGGAAAGATTGTCCATACTGTCACCCACAATGTTGAGCTTCTCAGTACGCTCGTTCAGCTGCCGTGTAGCCCATGCGCCCCAGCCTTCTTGATTAGGCGTGTTTGCCTGTGTAGGATAGGATTGGTATTGCGCAGCAGGTGATATAGATGACGAGGCCTCACGGCGGCGTTCTTGCTCAGCCTCTGCGCGTTGTTGGGCAATTTGGCGATTGGAGAGTGGCCGGTCGGGTCCGCCAACTGTGAAAACCCTGCATTAGCACGTTGAAACCACCCACCCATAGAGACAATCACAAGACTTACTGAGCAGATCCATGTCGGCTGGTGTGACATATTGGGTACCGGAAATCCATTGTATATTGCTGATGGTTGGCCGTGGCGGGATGACCAAGTCTGGGTTAAACAGGACATCTTTTGCTCGATCGCTAAAACGCATTAGCACACCACTGTTGATTATCAATATATAGTAACTTACTATTGGAATCCAGTTCCGAATATGTTGATCAAAGTCAATTCTGCTGGGCCTTTCCATCCAAAGATGTCTCCTGTGGCGGTGATGATCGCTTCTGAGAAGCGTCGGACGTCCAAGTAGTCACTGACGTTGACAGAGACAATCTCCTTCAAGGCCGGTATCGAGTAGGCTCTCGCGCACCCATCGCCATATAGACCAAGTAGTGCATACCCCTTTTCCTCATATCTCACCACCATCGCGGAATCACACAGAAACTGATCAAAAGTTTTGTGTGCGCCCTTGTTCGTGGCAGGACGGAACAATCTCGCTTCAGATGAAGTGACTGCCAAAAGCACACCGTTGACCTTCAAGCCTGTCCTAAGACCACCGACAACGGATTGCGAGGCATATGCTGGGCGGCCTGTTTCAGCATGTATAGGGCATATATTTAGAATCTTATCGTTCAGCGCGCATACACCCGCAAACTTTGCCGAGTATCGTCCATCTGCTTCTGGTAGCAGCTTGAACGTTGCAAGGTGTCCAAGGTTGGTGCCAACATGCACCAGAATACTTGAGTAGTCTTCATCCTCAAGCGTCATAACGCTAAATTCAATACAGGTGGGCCACTCCGCCTTCGGGGTTGCCTGAGCCGAGCTGCGCCTGAAGCTGGAGCGCTTGTCGGACTTGATGAAATCTTTAACAGACGCCTGGAAGATAATGGCTGGCCCTCGGAGGTCGATGATGGTCAGACTCCCCCCTTCGAAGCCAGCAGCGACAAAGCCTACATCTGAATGCTTCAAGGCAGTGACAGCTCCGTTGCCCTCGTCAAGCAATGTGAAAGGCAACAGGCCTTCTTTGACAGTCGCCTCGCTTCTTTCGATAATGTTGGTGAGCGCCTGAGGTTTGTTGTTGCCGGGCGGAAACTCCTGTCCTGCGTGCTTGTTCGTGTTCCATCTGAACACTACTACTTCACCGGTCTGTAGTCCCACAGACAGTTCAGAGGCAGCACCTGCGAACGAAGTCTTTGTGACATGGACGTTCTCTGGCCGACCGACTGCACGAGCAACATCGACCTGGAGCAGGGCATGATTTTCAATCTCGTCAGCATGTCCCGCATCCCACAATCGTATTGTGCCGTCTGCATGAGCTGTCTGGACGATATTTCGGTTCTCAAATCGCTTCAGGGGATGTACTGCTTCGGCGCCACCAACGAGCAATAGAGGGCCGTGTTGTCGCTTTTCCGTCATGCCTAGCCATCGGGTACGCTCTACCGGGGCCATATTTACGTAGTTGATGTACGGATGGACAAGCGTCATGGAGAGATGTAGTTGGTTCGTAGGAGTGATTGGCATGCCGCTTGGGAAGGTCAAGGTGATGAGCTCCCCAGAAGCGAGCAAAGCGATGATTGCAATAGGGTCGTGGCAGCCAGCAAAATGTTGGGATGATCTCGGAATGAGTACCAAATCCACGACTTCTGTACCAGGCGGACATGGCAACATCCGTTGCCTTTTGGGATTCTCAAAGTGTTCCGAGAGTATCTGCCACGACGCCGTAGCATATACAGGCGTTCGGCCTAACTCGAACAAAGTCAGACTCTTCGCTGAAATATTCGACGGTTGTCCTCCCGCAATAAGGATGGCGGTGTCGTCAGGATCCTGATTCGCACACCATGCGATCTTGAAAATCGGCGACTTGAGCGCGAAAGCCCCCTCTACCGCACCAGGACTAAAGCTTCCTGGGCCTGGTTTGTCCACGTTGGTATCTGTGAGCGTCCTTGCCTGTACAATGCGCCCGTCCTTGGTGTCCCAAATGACGATACTGCTATCCTCGTGTCCCGTCAGAACAAAGGTTCCTGTCGGATGCCACACGGCCTGCGTGAGCGGCGGTTCACGTTCCTTGAAGACGGAGCTAGGATCCGAGTCGCCACCTGGGGCTCCTTTGGGGAGTTTGTAGTTGAAAAAGTGAACAGGCTTGTTTTGCTTGAATGAGTAGATGACTGCGCCGGAGTTATACCCGATTAGTAGTTTGCCGATGTCTCGAGGATGCAGCGACAGCGTAATGACGGACGTCAGTCGAGATCGCGGAAACTGCTCCCTCCAAAAATTGGGTATCTTGAAGGGTGTAAGTGTCTCCCTGTCGAGATCATATGCATAGACCTCGCCATGTTGCGTTCCTAGAAGCGCATAGTCGATGGCGGAGTCGCTGTGCAGCGCCGTGATCTTTGCAGGAGGCGAATGCGCATTCACCAGTTTCTTGGTCTCGAGCGAGAAGACGGACAGATCGTTCTTCGAGTCTACGCACAAGAGCTTTTCGGCGCAGAATTGCAGGATCTTGACCGAGGCGGTGCGGTTGGGCAGGGGCAGCACGACTTCGACTCTTTTCTGCCCAAATACGTAGATTTGGCCAGGGCCATATTTGCTCTCACTCGTTCCGATGGCAATGAGTGACTGGACGGGGTCGTATGCGAGCTGGGTGATCTTGGAGTTTATGCCGTAGTTGCGGATCTGCACGTGTGGTTAGCTGGGCGGGCTGTTGGCGAGGAGCGGGGGCGGGCGGCAGGGCGGGCATACGAGATCCAGCACAAAGAGATCCGGGCTGAGGCCCTGGGAGAGGTCGTTGTTGATTCCAGCCTGCTTTCCGCGCAAGAGATGAGCCATGGTGGCGTGTATGTCTCATGGCCTTGAGCTGCGAGACTCCATGGGCAGCAGTGTCGGGCTGTGCTTGTCTGCCCTTGCGCTGTTCCGCCGGTAAGAACGCGTTGCGCGACGTCATCTCGGCAACTCTAAGCGGACCTGCAGGGTCCACCAGCCACATTGGGTGGCTGCCAAGGCGTGACGCGCAGCCACACTTTGCCGTCCTCTGCATGCTGCATGCACGGGTCAGCCAAACACAAGAACAACCACCAGAGGCCCGTGGGAACACATTATGCGTTGTTTGCTATGTATGTCCAGCACCATCGCAGTTTCTGCGTGCCCGGCATCTACCAAAGACTAATTAGAAAACACGCGTGGTCCAAATGAACAACAACCAAGGACACAGCGCTGGCTGCCAAGAAACATGCCCAGCAGGAATAAGAAAAAAGACCCTGCACTATCACACTCATTGCCCGAGCTTGGGAACGCCCAATCCATCATCTATGGTATCCAAAACACCTTGCAAATAAAGCACTCTAGTTGGACATGGAGGCTCCGTTGGCGCCGAACATTGACCCGTTGGGCGGTTGCGGCGTTCCCGAGCCTTGCCTACTACTACTGAAGCTATTTTGTGCCGCGAGCCGAGCCTGCGACTGAGCCGCCACCTGTGCCTGCTGCCGCTCCATCATCATCTGCTGAGTATTATTAGGCATGCCGTTGAAGGGTGCTGCAGCCGCAGGAGCCTGTGGAGTGCCGTACTGAGGTGGTCCATAGTACGTACTACGCATCTGACCTCCCGATACCGGCGTGCTATACCCTGGCCGTGTGCCGTAAGTAGACGGTGTAGGCGGAGGCGCGCCCTTCATAGGGGATACAGTGCGTGCCTGGGGCGCTTGGCCGCCATTGTAGAGAGGCGCCACGTTCTGCGAGCGCGGATAGTAGGTGCTCTGGTTCGGCTGTGTAGCATATCGGGCTTGCCCTTGCGCTTGAGGCGTCGCACCGTAGTACTGCGAGGCAGGGGCACCACCGTAGCCACCTGGCTGTGCCAAGCGCTGCGGAAAGTACTGTCCAGAGGGTGTGGTTCCATAACTCGGTCGTGGTGCCTGTTGGCCGTAAGATGGTGTCGCTGGGTACCCTGGCCGAGGAGCATAAGATGCGCCACCAGGCTGGAAAGGCTGTGCCGCACCCGAGGGTGAGCGTTGTAGATGCAGTGACGATGACCGATGAAGAGACGGTTGTTGCGAGTACACAGGGCGGCCGCCTGGTTGTTGCACGGATGGTGCAGGGCGGCCGTACTGGTGACCAGCCATGGGATAATGTGCGCTAGCGCCAGAACCCGTCCGTGCCAATGTTGCAGGCGTCGCAGCAGTCATTGCAGGTGTCTTTGAAAGCTTCAGGAGTTGGTCGTCCTCCAAGACTCCCTTGTACTCTTTCGTGTCGAAGATTATGGTTCGACTGATGTTTAGTTCGTCCATCTGATCACCATTTAGCTTGGCAACAGCGTAGGGGGGAAGCTGTGAAATCAACAAAGTCAGCTGCGACTTGAGGATTTGGTACACGTCAAACTCCTCAGACGACGGCGTTGATGGACTGCCAGCCAAGTTTGCCAGAGAGGCGTTCTGCACAACAGGTGTGCGCGGATTGGTCGTGAGGGAGAGATTTCGTATCCTTTGGTAGGATGCCAATGTCTCGAGAAGCTCGGAGATATCCTTGAGGACTTGATCGGTATCCTTTTCCTCTTGGCTTTTCTCTTCCGCCCCGGGCAGAACATCTCCCTCAATGGGCGTAAAGTTCTCCACGGCTTCTTTGAACAGCTCGTCTTCGTCGCTGGTTCCATTGGCAAGCACGGCCTTGGCCTCTTCGGGGTCGAGTAGCGCCGGGTCGATTGGAAACATCTCGTTGAAGCGCTTCTCACCAACCTTGTGCCACCACACCATATTCTTCGTCTCTTCTGGGATAATGGCCGAGGTATCGTCCCGCGTGGGCGCAAAACTCGAGTAGGCACTGCGAAATAGAGCATCTTCTTTTGCTTGTTGAACTGCAACCAGGATCGCTTCAGATGGCGGCTGTTGCGCCTCACCCATACTCAGAGCGCGCTGCCTGCTCTTTTGTTTTGCTGTTGGCGACGTCTGGTCTTTGGGCATGTCCACTCCGCCATAGCCTAGCCACAAACCAGAAGACAAGCCTTGGTGCGCATACGATTGAGATCCCTTGCGCTGGGGCTTGGGGACTTCTGGGTGCGCAAAGGTAATTGTGTTGTTGCCTTTGCTCGTTGTTGGCCTGGCAGACTTGGGTGGGCTGATCTGTGGGAGATGCGGGGGCGCGCGAAAAACGTCTCCAATAGTGGCAGGTTTTTTCTTGCTGTCTGGATCGGGAAGAGGATATACCTCTGTCGTGCTGATGAGATTGGGGAGGCTCGCCTCGCGGAGAGGAAGTATCACCTTGACGGCAGTGTCGAGGGCAGAAATTGGGATCGTGGGCGCGATCTTTTGGGGTTGCTGCAGACTCGAAAAGAGCTGCTTGGGCGGCGCGCTTCCGTATAACGTAAGGACGGTCCTGCTCTGGGGTCCCTCAGCCTCGGTGTCTTCCTGCTTGATGGCCACTGGAGCGCTCTCCTCTCTCTCGACGTGAGCAGAAGGCTCTTCGCTCGAGCCCTTTGCTTGGTGGTGCGCCTTGCGTGCCTCCTCTCGGCCGATGAGATTCCTGAGAATTGTCTGAAAGGCAAGGAGCTTGCCCTGGAGCGCAGTGTCTTGGGGAGACGTGGTCGCAGCCGACGAGTCGTTGGCGCCCGTGGAGGCTAGGATGTCCGTGGTGGCGCTCTCGACATCCCTTTCGAGTGCCTGCAGAGAATCGTACGAGCCATCTTGGATCAGGGTGGTGATGGTAGCAGGGCCATTCGGTGGGGTCAGTTTGGTGCGCTTCGAGTCGGCTTCTCCGGAGGCAGAGCGGGCTATCGACGAGGTTATGGGATGCGAGAGGAGCGAGGGTTGCGTGTCATAGCTAGTGAGCAGAGTCAGCGGGTGGACAAGAAGGCCGCATGGCACGCCGGCGTGATGCGCCTGGATGCGACGTGGACGTATGGATGATGGCAAACACGCGCACTCGTGCAACAACAGCCTGCACCGGCGGCGGGTCCGCCTACACGTGGGGGGGTGGGGGACGCTTCTTGCGTGTGCCGTACCTCTTGAGAACCTCGAGCATGTCCTGCAATGCCGCCTGCAGAGAACGCGTGCCGTCTCCCTGCGCAGACGTGGGAGCGCCATTGGGAGCATTGGCCTGGGGGCTGGCGAGTTTGCGCTTTGCAGCCGAGGGCGACTGGGGCGCAGGCGGAAGCGTCGGCGGGGTGAGGGTGCCGTTGGCGGCGGCCATTGTGACTTGGGGGTGCTGCTTGCGATGCGCGAGTGATGGCGTAGGATGCAACGCGCTCAGGGCGGCCGAAGTCGTCGTTAGTCGGTCTCCTCGACGTGCATTCCTCGCGGCAACACTGCAGGGCGCGAGGCGAAAGACTCCAGGGACGGCGCAGCCAGACACGAGATGGCTTGCAGTGACGCGCAACGGGCCAGGAAGGGGTCGGGCGTGGTGGATGGGCGTCTGGCAAAGAATTGCCCAAGGTTGGCTTGCTGCCGTGGTGCCAGTGCGTGCAGCGATGAATCCAACGCGAGGCCTGGTGCCAAGCCCGCGCCACAGCAGGCCAGCCACAGCGCCTCAGCCACGACATTTGAGCCACAGCGCCCAAGCCACACACTGCCACAGCACGCACAGCACCGCGCTAGCGCCTGAGCTGCCCACTTGCCTGTGCCCACGGTTTTCTCCCCACCCTCCGCCCTCCGCCCTGCCGCGCCATCTCGTTGCAATTGACGTCTACGCGCCTCGATCCCCGCCGCGCCCGCCAAATGAATGCACTGCATTCTCTTCCTGGCAGCTCCAGGTAGCCCTCATTGCCTCGGCCGTCTGGTGACGCGCCTGGCTGCCCGCCTGGTAGGCGTCCAATTGCGCCATGGCTGCTTCAACTGACTGATGCTGACTTGGTCCTCAAGCATCTCTCCACGACCGCGGCCGTTTTCCCTTCTTTTACCCACGCCGCCTGCTCCTACGCGCCGTGCCATTCCTTGCAATCACCATGTTCTCTCTCGCTGCCCGAGCCCGCCCGTTGCGCACCTCGTCCACATCTGTGTCGCCTCGAGAGGCTTCCGACTTTATCAAGGCACTATGCCTCACCAAGCAGTCTGGCCGCCGATTCCCAGCCAGAAATGCTCCCACTGTTACTGGATGCCACTGAAGAATCACACGAGCCCACCCCGTTCCGTCCCCAGCTCTCCCGCAATGCCAGGAAGACTCTACGCCCGAGCCGGCCTGACACGATTCTGTCTTCTATAGATGGTCCAGCCAAAGACCTCTATGTGAACGAATTTTCTAGCAGGATGACTTCGTCACACACTACACGCCACCGCCCGGCCCATCAGAAAGGCCCACAGGCCCTTGCGGCTACCAGCACACCTTTGCAGCTTCCCGAAACCCCCTCACTTCACTCTATTCTTGCACGGCATGTGAAGCATTGCACAGCTTTGCCACCACCTGAGTCAGAGTTTCAATTTAGCCCTGCCGAGCTGCATGTGCTGCGATCCAAAGGATACAGGCCAGAAAGCGTAGAGCAGTGGGCGTCATGCCTCGTAGAGCCAAAGTGCAACATAGCGGCCAGGATCTTCGATCAAGATGCTGAGGTGCCACCTCTCTTTGTTCTTCTGATTTTTCTACGTCGCAGACACATTAGAGTATGCGCTCTAGGTATCATTATGAGACACCTTGACCGACGTGTTCAAACAGACCATCTCGAATGGGCATCGCTCAAGATGATTGTAGTCCGTTTACTCCGCCATGCGCGTGAGCTCTGGCCCGAGTCCATGCCATGGATTACGTCCTTTCTGACCACACAGTCCAGCCGCTTTCTCGATAATGCAAAGCGGTCAAGCCCGCCTTCACACCAGACACTGTCTGACATGACGCGCTTCTTCAATTCTTACCTGTTGCTGTTATGCCTGCCTACAAGCTTCCGGCCTTTGATCTCCGCCACTTACCAGGAGAGGGCACAATTTCAGATACTTCAATACATGGCTGCGGCATCACCGCCTATAGCCGTGACACGCCTCGGTTTCCGCTCAGTAGCTCGCAATCAGCTGGCTCGCGCCAAGACGCCCCGGGAAAGAGAATGGGCCGAGCTCAAAGGTCCTTCATGGCCACCGTGGAAAGAAAATCGTACGGCAATGGATGAAGACAAGGGCTATGAGTTTGGTGCTTCGCGAGCTTCTCAGCTCTTGCATCGCATGTATGAAGCTGGATACAGCCATCGCATGTTTGATAAAATGGCACAAATTTACGCTGGTTGGGATACAGACACCAGCCCGACAATACAAACTCGCACCACGTTACCGCGTCTCTCTTCGCAGTTTAGCGACCGTAGTCTTATCCGCCCGCTGCTCTGGGCTGCACGTATACGGACCACGCGCACGCAAAGAGAGGCATGGGCGTGCTTTCTGTCGCATGAGCTTTCTGGAGAAGCCTCTCATTCGGAGATTTATCTCGCCATGTTCGAAAAGCTGCACTATCACTCTGTCGAGAGAGTACCCATTCAAGAGCTTTCGCCTGGTATAGACCGAGCTCCTGATGAAGATAGCACGCATCTGTTACCTGGAGACATGAAAGAGGTCCTGCCGGATCCGTTGTCTTCTTTGCATTATGTCTATCTGAGTGAGCCTGTCCCTGCACACAGAGAGCTACTTGAACGAATGCGTAAAACCCATGTCAAGCCTTCGAGCCGGCTGCTTGCTTTTCTCCTGGAAACGTACCCAGACTTCCAAACATGTCTGGATCTATTGCACATGAATAGACAAGGGTTTGACGGTGGTATAGGCCGCATACTGTATGGAACCCACGACAACGACGCTTCGGTCCAATCCATTGACGGCTATCTCCTCACGGCCATTGTCCGCTTATTGTGTCGCTACGGGCGATTTGATCGGCCACCCCCGTGGCATGTCGCTGATTTCAGCCCTGAAGAGCATGTGCATCAACTCAAAACCAACCGGCATTATCTTGTGGAATATGCATATACGCTTCTTATACGCTATCGCCCAAAATACCGGCCGGCTTGGGCCGTCTTTATGGAGAAGCTACTGCATCAAAGAAAAATCCCAGAGACTGGTCACGCAGAACGCTACAAATTCATCTGTGACTTGTTCGAGCATATAGAGCAGATTGACCTTGATATCGACGACGAAATGTTCCGCTCTGCATGCAAGGCGACAATCTATGCTGCGCAGAGTGTTGACCAGGGCGCTGCTTCTTTCCAAGACATGCGTTTGTTGTTCGCCACAGGCTCGTCGCGCCTTCGGACACTGTTCAACAATCTAGTTGGGGCCAATGCCGACATGCATTCGCGTCCAGAGCAAGTTGCGGGCACTGTTGTTCCGCCACATGTTCCTGGGCCTGCAGAACTGCATGCCTATGTGCGAGCACTAGGCACCCTGCGCGACTATGAAGGCCTCTACTCGTTCACGACCTGGCTAACCAAGCACCGCTCTGAGGTCAATGTGCGTGCGCAAGCACAGCGTGGCGGCAGTGACATTTTATTCAGAATGCTCGTGGCGTTGAGGTTGACTGTCAGTGGCGGGGGAACAGAAATGGGAAGTCAACATGCATCCAATGCACCAGAAGACATTGCTCTTCTTATCAAGGAGCAGATTGATGGTGTAGAAGAATGGGGCGGATGGCCAACGCAGGAGCACGTTGAGATGTATATTAAACTGCAACTCAAGACGAAGAGTCCGTCTGCAGGAGGACGTTGAATGTGGGAATATAGCCTTTGTCGCATGCATCACTGATTGTGCTCTCAGGCCGCAATATCTAGTACACCTTGTTATAGCAAGTTGGGATACCCCTGCTCCATGGATGCCGTGACCTCTGCAAACGTCTGCAACCACTGCAACTCTGCTTCTCCACGAGGGACGACATGCAACTTGCCCAGTTCCCTCCACCCTATATCCGTCTTGTCGACACGTATGCAAAGGGGAATGGAGGTATCAGGCGCCTGTTCGCCCAAGTGCTGGCGACCCATTTTGCTCGACAGACGCGCAACCGCATTCGTATGAGTCTTTGGCCCACCGGTCGCCCAGCACGGCGGGCTTGCAACGATATAACGACACTGTTTTACCAAAGCCACAGTCGCAGCCTCGCGCTCTGCAGGACCCTCCTCAGCTCCATCTTGGTCCAGGAAGCCAGGCTTCTGCACAACAGTATTGAACAGCTGAATGCCCCAATCGTACGGGATCAGCGCCGGCCACGCAAAACGGTGCTTGAACGCATCTGACCTGCGCCAGCGCGTACATTGAGCCAGCCGCACGAGTCGCCGCGCCTGGCACCGCATCGTGGTCGGGATGTGCGCTGCGTTCAAATCATCTGGGGCGTGCAACCGCGGGTCAAACGGCATCTTGAGCCGCGCCGCATGAGCGTCGTAGAGATGCGCCAGACGATACAATTCCTGCGCAAACGCCTCTGCCCGCTTGACGCGCACCTGCTGGTACAAATCGACAAACCGCACCAGTTCGCGCGAGGTAAACACCGTCTTTGCATTGACTACCTTGGAGGCACGCGGTTTGTATTTCGAGCGCAAGGTAGTACTGGGCTCGTTGCTCCTCGTCGTCGTCGTCATGATGCCTATATCCGGGATCTTGCTGAACACGTCTTTTGCGCCGGCAACGGAGCTAGCCCACGGTTCTACCGTGCGAGCATAGTCGTCGTGCAGTGTACTCCACGTTGCATCTACGACGATGTGATTGAGCGCCGCGAGCCAGTGGCGCGCGAGCGCCTTTCCATTGCGCAGCGTGTGTTCGGGCACCAAGCTCGTGGTCCCGCCGCGTGCCCACTGCGCCTTCTTGTACACCAGGAACGCGAGGTCGCCGTGCTCAAACACCCAGGGGACATGGTCCTTTGTCTTGGGCTGTGCGAAGCAGAATTTCCGGATTGAGTCGCTAACGCTTAACAGTCTTTGCCATTCCCCCATGTCGCCCTGCTGCCGGAAACACGGGCTCCACGGCGCAAGGCTGTTTTGAAGCGACCATGCTAGCCGCGGGCCTGCGTGCGCTGAGAGCCGGATTAGCTGGTGGAATTCAAGGTCTGCGAGGACGGGCTCGTGCAGCTCGCACGGCAGCTTTTCCAGGTTGAGGGATATGCGTCGGAATTTGGAGTTTGCTATTTTGCTGGTCATGGTAGTGGCGTGGTTGGAAGCATTGAGCTATTGTTGTTGGGGGGTGTTGTTTAGAAAACAAAGTGTGTTGGGTGTTTTCTTCAGTACCCAGTCCTGGGTTAACCCAGTTTCTTTGTGATTATCGTTATGTGTGGATAGCTCTTTTTTTTGCCTAGGTTTGTCGATGGGCAATGTAGACGGGCTTGCGGTAAAGACAGACGGTCTGTTTTGTATGTGTATATGTGATGTCTGCCGTTGAGTCATGCAAAAAGGGCGTCCTGGCAATATACGAAGGGCAGATGCGGGCCTGAAAAAGGGCCAGCGCGTAGACTAGAGTAAGTACGTTGTAGCCGCGGCTGGTTGGCCTGGATTTTTTTCTCTCTCCACCCCCGAGAGTCATAATCGTGGGGGACCGCGACCTTTCCTGATGTTTGTCCTAATACAGAAAAACACTCTCTTATACTTTCAAGTAGTAGCATTGAAATTTGTTGGTTTTCCCCTTCTCAAGGGTCTGATGGTTGGTATTCTTATCAAATACACTTGTCCTGAGTCTACATAGTGAAGATTGGTTTCTATTCGAAATCCAGGCTCGAAGCAGATAATAAGTAGCTGCAAGTACAAGTAATCATGGCCTGGCTCTCGCCACTACATGCACGCCACTTTGCAGCCACGAAGACAGCAGCGGAAATCTCGACACGGCTTCGCGCAGATGAAGAGCTTATTGATGCACAGAAGCCTTGCAGTTGGGTGGCATGGCACCTACCAGGCTACGACACGAAGCTCGGAAAAGACATTGCTACATGTCTGGCACCGGGTCCTGAGTTGGAGCATGAGATTAAGAAGCTGATTTACGAGAATGTGTTGGGTAGGATTCGGCGGTATCTGAAGAACGGCGGGCCAAATGTAGCACGGCATGCCGCTGTGCAGGGCATGGAAGACGTGCACAGGGAATTACTGCCTGAAGAGCTTTCGGCGGCGTTGAAGGTGATGGTGTATCTCCAGGAGAAGACTATTATCGAGCAAGATACGCCGGCCGAGTCCATCACAGCGTGGTTACAGGCGCGAGTTCTTCCCCACGCAGAAGACACGACGTGCATTCCCAAGGCTCCGCCCATACCGCGCAAGCGTCTCTGCTACATCTGTCGCCTGGCAATCACACGCGCGTTTCCGTCTCATCCATCGTTGTGTGTCCCTTGTGGCGCCTTCAACCACGCATCATCGCAGCTGTCCATGCCCCCCAGATTGACCCTGCCACGCACTTTTACCGCACTCGTCACTGGAGCACGCGTCAATCTCGGATACCACACTGCGTTGCGACTGCTGCGCTGCGGGGCCCAAGTGATTGCTACAACGCGGTATCCACACGATGCCATAGTCCGGTATATCCAGGAACCCGACTCTCATTTGTGGGAAGGACAGACTCAAGGTGGTGGGCGCAGATTTCAGGTCTGCAAGAGATGCGCATGCACTCGTACACGTGACCAAGGTTAGTTTTGATTTTGCAGATGCATTGTGAGATGTACGCTGATGTTTGTCTTCCCTGTTGTAGCAGTGTCTGAGGCAGTGGGCGGACGGGGGAGATGCCAGGTTGTATGCGTTGATCAATAACGCAGCACAGACGCTTACCGATAGCGTGAAGAAGGAAGAGCATGCCACACAGCGTGAGGAAGAGTTGAGAGGACGTGTGAAGCACCATACCTTTTTGATCGAGAGAAGCTACAAAGCCAGAGTACGCGGAGGAGCACTGCCACTGGCGTTGGAGAGTGGGGAGTCGACATGCATCGAGAGGCTGGAAGGCCATGGCGACGCCATGTGGTCCTTGGACGCGTCCAAAGCGTCTACAACAGAGATGGAGCCCTATTCAAAATCATCATGGGTCCAGGGGATGTCCGAGATACCGTATGAAGACGTAGGTTCTGCGCTTTCGGTCAATACCTTTGTCCCCTTTATTCTCTGCCGCGAACTCGTCCCGCTTATGGGCACCACTGAACCGTTACCGCCTGGCACCGCTTCCAAGCCGCAGGGATACATTATCAATGTGTCGTCCCGCGAAGGCATCTTTGAGGATCACATCACCTCCTCTGCCAAGCGAGGCAAACACGTGCATACCAACATGTCCAAAGCCGCGCTGAACATGCTGACGGAGACGGAAGCGGATCCGGCATGGCGAACCAGGAAAGTGGCGATGAATACAGTCGATCCGGGGTACATGAGCGCAGCGCCAGAGTACGAAGATGCCTTTGATTGGACAAGGCCGATCGGGTGGGAGGACGGCGCTGGTCGAGTATTATGGCCGATTGCTGTGGGCGAGGTAGAGGGGCAAGTAGTCAGAGGCCGATTCTTGAAGCATTATGGCGCTGTGGAGGTGGACCCGGGCATGGGCAGAGGGTGATTTTGCTATGGTGAGCGGCCGTTGCTGCCCAGTAACACAACGACCAGTGTTGGGTCTATGCATGGGAATAACGGAGCCGTCTCCGTGTGTCTTTATATCGGCTCTTCTGTTTCTTGATGCATGCTGGCGTAGTAGCAGTGGTGGGCACGGTGGTCTGAAAAGGTGGATTTCATGTACACTTTGGCCATGGCACGGAAGTGGACATGAGTAATGGCGTTGATTATGCTGGGCAGCGGTTTTCATGTCGTAAGCCGTATGTAAATCCATCGTCCCATGCAGTAGGCTACCCAAGGTATTCAGGTTGCATGCGGCGTCCATACACGGCCCGGCATGCATATTGTCCACGGTGCATGGATAGCATACTTATGCGCGGTGATATTGGTCTCGACTGCGGCTTAATGTGCTGAAGACATGTGTATGTAGCAGCTGGTCCTGAGATCAAAAGGCATGGCGACCGGAAGCAGGGGACCCGGCTGGTGGCACGATGAGGCGGGCGGAATGGTCTTGCAGTGCCTCTGTTTTGGCGGGAGGGCGTCGGGGCAGACGAGGGCGAAGGAAGGGTGGAAAGGAGGCGTTAGTTGTGCATGGTATGTGCTCGGGGGCGTGGTATGGGATGCGGCGTAGGATACCAAGGTTTCATGGCCTCGAGGCAAGAGTCAATGCCGGTCATGCGTATAGGGACGCGGGTCACGAGGTGGACTAGCGGGAGTCTTTGACGCTGATTGAGCGGAGTAATTTAAAGCAGTGAAGACGCGTGATCGGGCTGGCGAGAGGAGGGGAGGCGAGGGGAGGCGGCTGCTGCTGCTGCGTCGGGCTTTAAACGCTGCTGCCGATGCCAGCCCGCCCCGCGACACGGCCAGCAGCCAAGCGAGGGTCTCACTTACTCACCTACTCACTCCCTCTCCCTCTCCCTCTCCCCCTCTGATTCCAGACTTCAGCAGGCCTCCCCGTCAGTCCTTTCTGGCGCTGGTCCTCGGCCCAGTCGCATCCCACCACAACGCGTCCGTCCGCCTGCTGATTTACACTGCACGACTTCACAAAAAGCGTCGACTCCCCCCAGGCTCCCGTCTCGCGGGGTAATCAATACAAAGATCAAGTATACCGCTACCTGCCATAGCTCCCGACCAACACTCCCGCCCAGCACACAGCTAGCAAGCACGACGACGCCAAACGCCATGGCGGCCTTTTTCGAGCAGCTATGGGAGTCCATCTTCACGCCAGGCCCGACGCCCACGCTGCTGGTTGCCACCAACGCCTCGTTCGCCGCGCTGCAGGTGCTCCTCCTGGTCATGCTGCTCGCTACGTACAGCATACACTTTGTCATCCTGTCGGTCCTCTGCGGAGGCCTCTGGTGGTCGATCAACTGGTTTGCGACTGAGATTCGGGCCGCGCAGGCAAAGGAGGAGGAGGCCAAGCGCATCCGCGAGGCCAGACGAGGTGCAAAGGACAGGGCCGACGACGGCGACGGCGAGGCCATGGACTCGGGCGACGACACCGAAGTCGACACTGAGGTGGAGCAGAAGCAGGCGCCTAGGTCCATGCCGCCCCAGCCTCGAGCGGCGCGCCCCGAGACGCAGAGCACTGTCTTTGTCGAGAAGCCCGAAGGACGTGGCGTCCGCAGCACGCCACAGCCTTCTTCTGCGACTGCTGGCAGTCAAGGCGCTGCCACGACTACGACTGCCACTACGACTGCTACTACCACTGCTACTGCTGCTCCTGCTGCGAGCACCACGGGCACGGCTACAGGGCTTGCCGCCCCCGCCGACGAGACGGTCAAGAGACGGAAGGCCATGGCAGAGTCGGTGGGCGACATATCGACGGACAGCGAGTGGGACAAGCTGTCGGAGGATTCGGGCGACAGATGAAGAGGGCCATGTTTACTGTTTGTTGGTTGAGTGGCAGCTGTTGGGCATGTTTCGATATGCTTCTGGATGCTAGACGCGATTAGACTGTGCATCTGTACCCCGATGTCATAACACGTGAACACGCGCAGCCCGCTGTCTGTGCCCTGCATGGCGCGGCGGTGCAGCCGTCGTCTGGCTTGCGAGACCTTTTTACCTTTGCTTGTGTATGTAGGTATGTATGTATGCATCTATGTATGTATTTACGGTGCACTGCACACGCCCTGATGCCCATGGAGCTCCCGTTGGTGTTTGTTTCGCTGCCCAACACTGCCCGTGGCCGTCCCTGCTCGCCATGGACGGCGCCGCTCTGTGCCCCGCCAACATCTGGACCATCACCACCCAACTGCAACGCCTTGCCCGCCCTGCCCGCCAGTGCCCACACCCACTCCCACCACCGCCCAAAGACATTGCTGACGCAAATCTCCACATGTCACGCATGACGACGCCCGGCCTCATCCCGCACCGGTAGCGGCCCATTCCATGTGTGCCTTGTTGCTGCTGCTGCCTTGGTCTTCCCCCCATCAGCGCAATCATTGCAATCATCGCATCAACACGCCAACACGCCAACACGCCCGCCATGGCAACCATCAACACGCCCGTGAGCGTCGCCGAGGTGACGCAGCAGGCGGGAAACTACACATATGACGCCCACATCCCGCTCGCCAACTGGCTGCGAACGGCCAACACCATGCAGAAAGAGGCCCAAGTCTACGAAGCCGAGGGCAACGACGCGCAAACCTATCTCCTGCTATATCGCCATGCCGACCTCGTCCTCCAGAAGCTGCAGGGCCATCCAGACCGCTCTAAGCCCGAGAACCGCAAAGCGCTGAATGCTGCCACTGCCGCCGTCAGTCGTGACCTCAAGAAGCTCGAGGAGATAGCCCCCCGCATCAAAAAGAGACACGAAGAGCACGAGGCACGCCGCAAGAGACAGCAAGAGGCGCTCAAGTCGCTCGAAGGGAAGAGCATCAGGCTCGTTCCTCAGGAGCTCGACGGACAGGCCATCAACCCAAGATCATACGATTCAAGACGCACCATCGATGCGCGCGCCCAAGAGAACCACTCGCTGGCTGCAAGGCTGGCACAACGAGAAGTACGCAGGAGAGACACCCTCAAGAGAGGCGTGCGGCAGCACGGTGTGTCTGCAGAAGAAGAACAGGTGCGGCGTAGTGGCGGCGCCTGGGATACTTGGCAGGACGAACTGGTGCAGCAAGGCGGCCATGGAGACGACCTCTCGAGCCAGCTACAAGAGGTGGTAAGACTCCAGCAGGGTGACCATAGAACATCCTACTCTTCAGTAAGTCAGGGTCCAGTCATGTCCACCGGCCTTGGGTACTCACCAGCGCAGCGTCCAACGTCTCAACCAGCATCCCCATACCACTACCCAGCTGTTCCCCACAAGACAGCACAAGACACATTACCTGACTCCCGTTCAGCACCAGCCCGGCCCCCAAAGGAACAAATATACAGGCCCTCTGGCCCACCATCCGCTCCTCCACCCCTACCACCCAAGCCATCATCCTCTCCATACGACCCGCGATACGAATCACGTCCGCCACCCGTTCCAGGCAAAGTTTCAGACGGTGCTCCGCCATTGCCAAGCAAGGTACACGACGCACGCCCGCCCACGCCGTCTGGTGAACTCGACGAGTTTACCTTTAAACCCTCGGCCTTTCTTGAAAATGGAGATCCGCTTCGTCCAGTCTTCCTGCCGTCCCAACTCCGCCACCAGTTTCTTTCTCTTGCATCTTCAAACACTCGTCTGAACCTCGAAACGTGCGGCATGCTGTGTGGAATCTTGAAATCCAATGCCCTCTTCATTACCCGCTTGATCATTCCCGAACAGACGAGTACCAGCGACACGTGCGAGACTCTGAATGAGGAGGAGCTATTTGATTACTGTGACAAGGAAGAGTTGATGGTCCTGGGCTGGATCCATACACATCCAACGCAGACATGTTTTATGAGTAGTAGAGATTTACACACTCATGCTGGCTACCAGGTCATGATGCCAGAAAGCATTGCGATTGTGTGCGCCCCGACAAAGCAGCCTAGGTACGATAGCTTGACCTCGATTTCCCCTCCTATACTGACCATGACCATAGCTGGGGCTGTTTCCGCCTTACCGATCCACCCGGTAAACAGGCAATTCTGAATTGCACCCGTCCTGGCATCTTCCACCCTCACGACGTTGACAACATCTACACCGAAGCACTCAAACCAGGACATGTCGTGGAGCTGACAGATGCGCCTTTGGAACTTGTCGATATGAGGCCTAAAAAGAAATTTTGCTAAAAGGGCCTATCAAAGCGGCTACGACGACATGTACAAAGGCTTATGAATTCTTGGACCCCCCCCCTTTCTTCACTATATTTGCATAGCGAGGTGTCTTGGAGCAAAATGACTAGCGGGGTCGCATTGGGTAGATATCGTGCTTATGCTGTATGTAACGTTTAGATGAATAGTATAGAAACATGGTATTAGGATTACGAAATTTCTGATCAACAAGGAAAAGCTTGGCGTTGAGTTGAGTTGAATTGTGCTAAAGAAGGTTATCACGTGATGAATGTTCTTTTTTCTTCTTCTTCTTCTTTCTTGGTTCACAACCAAGTACTTGGCTCTACACTACTTACATTAGAATGATGACTCAGTATCGTAGTACGTGCATAGTGTTTTCTAGCTGCAGAGACTGGATATTGAAGGGGCTTTTTTCTTTTTTCTTTTTTGGTTTTTGCTCTGCTTTGAACCGCAAAAATACTAACTCAGTAGTGGATTAAGCTTGTCTATTCTGTCTACGTGGAAAATGAAGATGATTTTTTTAACCAAGCATATATAGTATAGAACAGATTGCTTAGTTCCCCTCGTACCTTTACTTACAGCATGGGATATGTTCTGTCTGTGTTTCTTATGAAGTACAGTACTTGTCTAGTATCACGCATTTGCATTCACCATCGTCTTTTTTCTTTAGCTGCAATGCGTTGTTGACTAAGACTAGTTAGTCTCATCTGAAATTCACATTGGTTCATGTGACGTCACATTGCATTTGTATCTAGTCTTGCCCTTTCTCCAGCTCTTTATCCCAGCTCAGCTTAGCCCAGCTCAGCTCAGTCTAGTCCCACCCCCCTCAAGGTACCGAGAGAGAGAGAGAGAGAGGGAAGGGGAATGGACCAGCCATGTGTCAAATATAACTTCAACTATATTTTATTTTTCGTTTTTTTTTGGTGCTGCGGGGAGGGAGGGGAAAAGATACTAGCAATCAGTAGAGTTTTTGCACTGTGGGAATTCGCTCGTGCCTCCTCTCACCTCCCCTTGTATATAGTACTTGCGGTTTATTTGCGCGTATCTACATATCAGAAACACACTTACATAGATGGGAAACGACATAGTGTACGAGTGTATGTGGATTATACACGAGCTGCGCGCAAGACTCACGGACTATGCATTTATGTCGTTGTTGCTGATTTTATTTCAACAGCTTTATAGTAACGACTTCATTGTAAAAGATACATCCTCAAGGCAACACGAACAAACTGTTTCAACACCTTGCACGGTAGTGAAGCCCAAGTTGAGACTGGGAAAAAAGAAGGAAAGAAAGAAAAGGCCGCACGCCTGGCACTCATCGGGCCATTTTCTTTTCCCCCAATTCTTACACGCACACACACACTCACGCGTATGCGCGCGTGCAGAAGTAACCAGACGATCCGCTAGGTACTCATCCATGCCTGTCCACTGTCCACCCATCCCTCTCACACATTCTTCCCCTTGTTCCCTTTCGCCGCTCCGCTTGTCCAGGAAAGACGACCCCTTCCTTCCACAGTGTAGTAGCAATAGTCTGTAATTAAAAATAAAATACGCAGAATAATATTCCTGACAGTCCAGCTAGCCCAGCCAGCCAGCTAGCCACATCACACCACAAAGTTCCCTCTGCAAGGGATGTGATCATCAACATTACTACTCGCCCACCCCACATCCACACACCCACATCCATACACACGGAACGGAATAGAGAGAGAAAAGGCGCCTATTTTCCTTGCTGTCAGCAGCCCATCCAATCACCCCAGCTCCCACCCAGCTACCCAGTCAGCCCCGGCAGCCAGGCCAGCCAGCCCCCCAGCCGCAGCAGTCCCCTGTCCGCCACATACACTCCCCGCCCCCCCCTGCCCCAGCCATACAATCACGAAGCGAGATCGGACGTGGAGAAAGGTGGATGGGTGTGGAGAAAAAAAGGCCCCATGCGTACATGCGGGATAAGCGGGGGGGTGGGAGGCACATGCCTACATAACGGACATGGCGGATATTGCGGGGGGGGGGGGGGGGGGCGGACGGACGGACGGACAGAATATGCGGACAAGTCCAGCGGACCATGGACTCGGGAATCCGAGGGCTGCGTTAATCCGATAGGGTGTGTGGGGGTTTCGTGTATACATAGTAGTAATAGAGAGAGAGAGAGAGAGGGAGAATGAGAGAAAGGCTGGTGGATTGGTTGCCTGACTTGCTGGTTGGTATGGATGGAGTGTGTGAATGAATGGATGGGGGGATGGATGGATGGATGGACTGACGGACGTGAGAAACTGTGTATGGTATTGTTTGAAGCTATAATGGAGAAACGCGATTTTATGTAGCTACTGAGTAGTAATAGCCCATAGTTTTACTAGGAGCAACAGCCAGTAGTGGTGGTAATAACGTTTCGGTCATTCTCTCTTCCACTACTAGTTCGTGTACATGACTAACTACTACATGACTACATCAACTCAGCACGCATAACTACACAGAAAATGCGTAATACAGTAACCCGGTAAGTACGTACATAGGTAAATGGTCTGTTACCATTACCCCCCTTACATAGTCAAGACAACACAAGCACCAAATGCCGTGCGTGTAATCTATCCGAGAGAGATACGTACATGTAGGGGCGAGGCAAGTGATCGACAACGCGTGCATATAAGTACTTACTTTATCGTAATAAAAGACCACGTGTGTGCATGCTAGAATGGGGAATAGGCGATCAGCAGAAACTTCTGTTTTGAGTTACAAACGTGCATACAATCACATTGGGGGGATATGTTAGATATGCCCGATTTAAACATTGGTAAACGTCTGGGGGCAAGGGGGATTAAGCTTTTTTTTCTTTTTCTCTCCCTCCCTCCCTCGCTACCTTTTCTCGCTATCTTACAGTACACACACACAACAGACTTTTAAGTTTTGGCTTTCTTACGTACGTATACGCGTATAGTCAGAATAAAAGAAAAAAAGGGGGGGGGATAGGCGATCAGCGATCAGCGGGGGTTTTTGTTTCGACTTGGGGGGATGCATGAGGGGGGGGGGATTTAGAATTTCTGATTTTGACTTGTGTTTTCGGAGGAACGGAGGAAGGCTTTTTTTCTTTTCTTTTTTTCTCTTCGTATCTCGCTCTTTCTGTGTCTCGCTTCCTAATACATATGTGTGTGTGTGTGTGTGTGTGTGTGTGTGCAAGTGATAATAAGGAGACTAGTAACCTAAATAAGTAAGTAAGTAGTGCACCTATGTAGCTACGTACATAGTACCACGAGTGCCGCCGCTGCAGCGACCCCAGAAAACCAGGCTACTTACTGCTCATTCTCAAACCCCGCCTTGTTCCTTTTTTTATCGCATTCAAACATGGTTTACCCCAATTCTACTACACTACCCACTGCGCCTCGTACATACAAGTAAACGCTTTACCGCCAGGTATTAGGTGTTGACTATACATTCTACATAGTAGCTTACATGGTAAGTCTGCAAGCGAATGTGTGCAAGCAATCATTTACTTTTCCACCGTCATGTTTCCCCCCCACCCCCCCCCCTAATCTGCATTGAGAAATTTGATCAAGAAACAGAGGGGAGGGGAGGGGGTTTGGACACGTGCAAGCAAAGCCGAATACGAGCAGGAAGAAAAAGGCAAAGGTAGAAAAAAAAACGAGTCTGTCGTCCTTTCTACACCTAGTGTAGCTAGTAGTTAGTCTAACAAAGAAAAGAGTCCATGGGGGTGGGGGGAATGTATCCATAAGTAGAGATTATTCATTTTCCCGGGTTTTTTTTTATTATTTATCCCTCTTTCCACCCATTCCCCCACTCCCCCCCTTCCCAGCCCTAACCCATCTTTATTTTTTTCCTTTTCCAGCTTCTGTGTGGCGCCTCTTCCCATTTTCACATTTGCACCTGTATCCATATATACTTGGGTCTAACGTAATAGCAATAGCAATAACAGTTCATGCGCCCACCCCCCCTTCCCCAGCTTAGTAGCGAATCCCTCGGCTTGATTTCTCTCGGCTTGATCCTCAAGCAAGCATTCCTCAAGCTAAGCTAAACTAAACTAATCTAAGCCATATACCCAAGATTCTTCTTTTCTTTCTTTCTTTCTTTTGCAACGAAGGTCACTTTTTTTTTTTTTGGCCGCGAACTGCTGCAAGATATGCTCAGCCAGCTCAGCACCATACATACATAACAGCATACCCGTTCACTGGGTCAAGGCGACCATGAAAAAAAAACAAAAAAAAACTTGCTATCGGCCCTTTCCATTGTTCCTTGGAAGCAGCAGCAGCAGAAGAAGAAGAAAAAACGTGTCAACCAAGCTTGATTCACCCCAGGTGGGGGGGTTCCATTGGCCCGTATTTGTCTTGATTGACGTCTGCACACTTATGTATGTATGTAGTCATTAACAATCACAAACATACATGTCTTTCCACTTTTTTTTCCGTTTCTTACCTTACTTACTCAAACTGCGAATATTTCTCCCCTTTTGCAATAATCTCAAATCGTGATGGTACCCGTGCTTTCCCACCCCCTCCCCCACCACCAGCGGGAACAGGGAGTGCAAGGCCAGGGGAAAAGCGGCAACTAGTCTCGGGATGGCGGCGGGAGGATGGGAACGGGCAGCTCGACAAACCTTCTCTGCCCAGTTTGCTCGTCCGCAGATCCAAGTTTTCGTTTTTGGTGGGGTTTTCTTTTTCCTTTTTTTCCCCGCCATCGCTATCGCTATCGCCATGGATGGATGGCCTGGGAATCAGGAAACAGGAAACGTTGAGGGAAAAGCAGAATGAATGAATAAATGAACGGAGAAAGAGCAACGCGGGCTACACTGGACTGGACTGGATTGGACTAACGAATTAACTAACTAACTAGGAGTACTATAAGTATCTAGTTACATTCCCTGTTTATTTTTTTTTGCTTTTAACCTGGTTCTGTGCATTTTGCATACCTACCTAGGAAACATGAATGTCACTGCTACTTGGGGGCGCTAGTACACAAACTACATGTCAACGTTTTTTTGTTTTTTTGTCTAGATTTTTCTGCTGGACTATCATCACGTCATACTTACCTAGGTTTATTTATTCCAAACACACACCATTTACAAAAAAAAAGAACTGGGATGCGAAACAGATCCCAATTCTTTGGTACCGAGAAGTGATGCGCAGCGGGGGAGGGGACGTTGTAGGGCTACACCTCTCTCAGCGACCTAGTCAGTGTTTCTGTCTCTCCGCACCAAGACGTGGCTGTTGAGAAGTTTGGTCCTTGTTTGCGCGTGTGCTTGTACCGCTTGGCGAGGTTGTACCGATGAAGCTAATAGAGAGATTTTGGTATGGCTGCACATGATCGCTCGAGGGGGGCCGACTAAGTGGATGGCGATGACGTCGTTCAAGAGCGCCTGGCAGCTCACCTACTGTACAGCTCCACCATGTATTCGAGCCGCACCAACGACTTGTTGCATATGCCCACCCATGCACCCGTGCCCGTATGCTTTTGGTCTAGCAGTTGCTTTGCCAGGAACGGGGCCTGAGGAGCATTGTGCTACATGGGAGCCTGAGCGGCGGCGCAGTATGGTGACAAGTTCTAGAGGGTCTTGGTAAGGTCGGCTTAACTTTCTGACGTCAACAGCCATATTATCCCAGAAACTGTGCGGTATCTTAGTGCAGACCCTTTGCCGTTGGTTTCGCGTAAAATGTCCGAAACGTGTTGGGTAGCATGATTGTTCGAGCACGAGCATGCCTCCAATGCCTCAGTTGAAGAGTTCGGCCGACGATGACGGAGGGTAGTGAGGCGCAGCGTCTCAAGCAGGATCCCAGAGACTTTTTCATCTTTCACTCGATTAACCGCAAGACGTCGATTGCCGATTCTCATGTGCTTGCATATTCATAGCATACTTGTCATTGACGTGGCTGGGCTCTGGTCAGCACAGACTCTGGTGAGGTCTGGATAAACTTTGACCTGAATTGGAATAGCACGGCAATCGGCAATGGGAGCTCGCCTTTTAGCAGTTTGTAGACTACCAATGAAGCCATGTCCATGTGACGTCGTCTAGAGGATCAAGTGCCGAGATATTTGGCGCCCAGGCTGTGAGCTGTCTGCGCGGAAAATACCGACTGGCCATGTCAACAAGAGATGGATGTATCACATCTGGGCCAGCAATTTGGCGAAGAAAAGCCGCTGTACGGTTAGAATGTATTGAATGCGTGGTCCAGCCACAGGCTCTGCGAGAAACGTGAAGCGCGCATAAAGGGCAAAGGTTGAAATGGTGATTGATTCCGTTTGGAAATGTGACCAATGGCCAAGTAAGCCGCTAGTTTCCAAGACGCATAGTGCTTACGGATTCTACGTAGGAGATACGGAGGCTCAAGCGTGCCAGCCGCGGTACACAATCTTGGAGCCATACTTTTCACCTTTCTTGAGTACCATCATCGACTTGTACTCGGGAATGTTGATGGCGTTTACATATCGACTGGGCTCGACGCAGAAGCCCGAACGGGGGGGCCGGGCAGGCAAGTCAGCCACGGCGGGTACATCAATGTATTTTCCCGTGTAAAACTGGAATGCTGGCTCGGTCGAATGGACTTCGAGGTGGATCTTGGTCTCCGGGTGGTAGAACGAGGCCAGCTTCTGCATGGGCAAAGAGCGCGTGTCAAGCGGTATACTGCTGGGGTCCGTGTTGACAATAAAGCAGTCATCAATGTCGGGCTCCTTATCGCCAAGCGTGAAGGTCTCGTGGGGAGTAACGCCGGGGTAGTCTTGGATGGGCCCTGTAGGTATGCCTCCCTCGTCGACGACCTGGTACTTGTTGGTGATGAGGGTGACTTCTGTGCCGGCGATGCTAGGACCTTCGGACAGGTTGAAGTAGCTTCCCATGGCTTTAGCGGTGTGACTCGTATGCGGGGTGCCTGCACATGCTTACCTATGGTTGGTCATGTTGATGGCAGTCTCACCGACTTGGTCGCCAATAAGTTCAGCCTCATACTCGATATGCAGGACCTCTTGCTCGGCGCCGTTGACTTGCTCCTTCTCCTGGACGTACCACACGCTTACCTGTACGGTGCCCGGGTAACCCTCGTCGCCGTCTTTGCTGAGATACTGGAACAAGGTGGCCTCCTTGCCATTGCGGTCAACCGTCTTCGGGCCTTCAAACTCGCGCTTTCCCCAACCCATGTTTCCACCATGCAGAGAGTTGGGCCCGTCGTTCAATGGCAGCTGGTACGACTTCCCATTTAGGTCATTGATCTTCGCCTTGGACACGCGGTTGGCGACACGGCCAATGGTTTCGCCAAAGAATGGGGCATTGTATTGCTTGTACAGCTCAGCGGTCGGGAATCCCTGTACAATATTTTTCCCATTGACATGGAACTTTTGGATAATGGCGCCAAGTGGCAGAAAAGTAAAGGCCTTTGTGGAAGACATGGTGGTGCAATTGGGGGAGACTAGCTGAGTAATGTGTACGGTGGCAGGCCTAGATTGCGCTCGTTAGCGGGGAAAAAAAAGAGGTGGGAATATGGTTTGATGGGCGGCCATTGTCGCAGTAGGCGTCTGGCGAGGTTCTGGCGTGGTGGTGGGATGAGGGGTAATATGTCGAGAGATGTGGGGCTGCTGCAGGACGACTACTCACCTCAGCTGAGAGTCGCGGAGGATGCAGAATTAGCTGGGTCCTGTTGATGTGGGAAAGAGGCAGTCAGGCTTATTCAACAGCCTTCCTTGACGCTTGTGTGGAATGAAGAAGAACGGAGGCGCGCGCGCACCGCAGGCCTTAGATAGGTATGTGTCGATTTATTAGCCTAATGAGGATGCATGTGGAGCAACCGTGGGACGTCCATTCTGCCGCTGCTGTTTACCACGTGAAGCACGGCTCGAATCTTGTGGTGCTCGTGGACGATACGTCGGACGGACTGCCGTATAGAGCTTCGGGTGGGCTCTGTTGTGTGAATGGCGAATGAATGCAGGAAATGGGTAAAGGAAGCGGCTGGATACGTGTGGGTCGGCTGGCTGCATCGGTGCCTGTCGCGCCTTATTAGTAATCGGGAAATCAAGTTTGCGCACACTGGAATTTCTGAAGGCGATGGTCGTGTAAAAAACAAAAACAAAAAAGGTCCAACATGGTCATATTTGGAAGGAAAAAAAATGGTGATTAATATTTACAGCATCATGTACAGAACCAGTTAGTGCTCCTCCCCTCGGCCGCCATTCTCATGCTCATTAACCAGAAAACAAGTGCCAATGTGCGGGGGTCGCGTTTGCAACTGTGCCCGGCACAGCAATGCACGTCATAGTGAAGCGTCGAGACAATGGTTGTACAGGGTGGGAAATTTCCTCTTTTATTTTATTTTTTCCCCCAGGGAATGGTTGGTCAGCACCAACCGAATTGAACGCCGATAACCCATGGCCAATAGCCGTGGCCAGCCCAAACGCCGTGTGAATGAATGGATGGTATCCCAGAACGCTTGAACGCTAAAAAACATGGAGAGGCAAACAACGAGGAGCGCAAAGGATGTTGTCATGCACCGACGGGATTCTGGATGAAGTTGTTGAAGTCGAGCTCGTTATGGGTATTCCAGTCTGGCATCATGGGGTCGTTTGGGGTGATTGCGGCCGTGTCGACCATCATGTTCTGGTCGTAGGCGCCATAGCTGTCGAATGCGTACATGGGCTTGAAGTCTATTGTGTCGTCCATGATGATGGCGTCGTTGATCCAGGGGGTTCGCGACAGGGCGGAGGGGTCCATGACGGAGGTGGGCATGAATGGTGGCGAGGCCATGACGGGCTCCTGCTTGACGGGCTCGACGACTTGCGACTGGCGTGGAAATGGGCTGTTCATGGGCGGGGTGGGCGGGGCGTTGTTGCGGGCAAATGGGCTTTCGTAGGCAAAGGTCCTGGTGGTGGGTGTTCCGTTGTACGACGAATTGGACGAAACATGGCCGTGGTCTGATTCGGAGCTGACCGAGGCCCGTCGGCGGGTGAATGGCGCGCCGCCCTCGATTAGCCTCTGCTGCATGCGGCTGCAGTCCTCCTCGAATCCGTCGTAGTGGTTGGGGCTGTCGGTGGAAGCGTGCAGAAGATCCAGACGCTCGAGAATGTCGTGGGTAAGCGGGTGGCCGGCGGCTGTTTCCTGCAGAGGCTGTCCTGGCCAGCTCTCGCCGCGCTGAAGACGGCTGTAGAGTTCGCGGAGACCGGCTACGAGCTGGCCCTGCTGCTGCTCAAGCATCTCGACATATCTTTGTTGGCGTGGTCAGCGCGAGAAACGAGCACAGAGGCGGGGGGGGGACGTACCCTTTGGGATAGACCTTGTCTTGCGACTTCTTTCGCTCTCCGAAGACGCAGATTGCATTGTCAGCCTTACAGCGGCTGCAAGGGCTTGCTCCGTCGCACTAGTCCGGTTAGGATGACGATTGCGAGATGCGTGTCTGAGGACCAAGCACACACACACCTTTGACTTTTTTAGACGGCAGCGGTCGCAGGCCTTGCAGACTCGCTTGCGGATGTTGTCTTGGGCCTCCATTGAGTCTGATCGACGCGGCGACATGGAGTGGGGGGAGGGTATGGATGTGTATATGGATGTGTATATGGATGTGTATATGGATGTATATGTGTATATATATGGATGGGTGTGTGTGGGACAGTGTGGGAGGGAGGCAGAGAGAGCGAGACAGAGAGTCGTCAAGGCAGGAACTGGCAGTCGGTCGAGGTGGACAGCCAGGCTCTAAATAAGGGCACAAGCGGTGGTGGGTAGCAAAGCATTATATCTATTCACGTCAGAGGATAGTTCAGGCGGACGTTCGGCCATAACCTGGGGCCTGGGGGCTGCAAAAGCTCGGTAATGAAACTGTAATTATGAAATGCGCCGACCCTGGGCAGGTAGAGGCACAGCGCCCCCGGTCGCTTTACACATCATCAATCGGCGCACGCACGTTGAGTTAGATTAGTTCGCGTGCAGGGATGCTCGCCCACCTCAGCAGCGCTGCCCTCACTTCGCCCGAGACGTGACAAAGCGACGGCCACCGCGTCCAGCGCTGGAGGAGCATCCGCCCGCGACGCTGTTCGTCCGCCGCTGCGCCCACACAACGTCACCTGCTGTGCCCGGCGAATCCGCGGCCACACCCGCGACATCCACGACCAAAACTATGCGGACAAGACTGGCGCCCTGTTTCCGAGCACCAGCGCACCAGCGCACCAGCGCACCAGAGCACCAGAGCACCAGAGCACCAGAGCAACACCCGCGCCCGTCCTCGCCGCCGTCCTTCTAGCGCCTCGTTGATAACGTAGCCGGTGTGTCTTTCCCTTCCCTTCTCCCCTGGCCTGCTCAACACCGTTGCTCGGCCGAGCTAACCAGGGCACCGCGCTGGAAGCCTTCACCTGCTTTTGACTGGTTTGCCAGCCGAACGCGGTGTGTGCCATTATTGATAAAAAAAAAGGGCGCGGGCTCGCTCCTTCGGACGGTGAGAAATGGGTTGCCGGGCCTTGTCTGGTTTGCAAAGTGGGACGTAAGTAAGTCCGAGTCATCCAAGTGCAGACACACACACACACACATGGTTGAATGGCACAGGCTTGCCCCGTCAGCAGCCTGCATAGGAGGATTTGCCAGACGGGGCGAAGGGAGCGGTAGTCAACAAAAGGACAAGTAAGACAAGGAAAGGGGTCCATGGGAAACGGGGTGTGATGATGGCTGTGTGGGGGTGGGTGGGGGATTTGGGGGGCATAATGCAGAGCCTATGAGTGTGTTCTTGGCTGGCTGACATGGAGTTTGTCTGTGCTGACGCTATGTTTTGGAGGGAAGATGGAAAGGATAGAGAATGGAAGCGAGAGTATATCGGGGAGAGAGTTGGAGGGACCCAACAAGAAGCAGCAAAGCAGCCAGGCAGGCACCCGAGTGCCATGTGGAAGGAAGGGAAAAAAGAACAATGTCGTGTGCAGAGACGCCTTTGCATGTTTTGGCAGCAAAGCAGGGACGGGTGGCTGGCAGGGGAGCCATCGTATAGCCATCGTATAGCCATCGTATACTAGTGACCCCGGGTGCTGGACCAAAAGGTGCTTTGGCAAGCTTGGATGCCGCCCAAACACCGGTGACGACGGCAGTGGCAGCCACGCAGCCTGACGTTGGCAGCGCGCCCATCTCGCAGCGCAGCAGCCAAAGAAAGAAGAAGAAGAGAAAAAAACATGGAACATGGCTTGCGAGTAGCGCGCGTTGCGTGGATAGACCAGGCCCATGGCTGTGGCTAGAGGGCGTCGTTACGTGGACGGCGGGCGCGTTGGTGCCTCAGGATTCGCTGTGTGGCTGAGGCATTTATCGCACATGCGTCGCGGGCTGTTGTCAGGAGAGGGCTAGAAGCATCATTGTCGCCCGTTGGTCAAGTATGTGTGTGTGTGTGTGTGGCTGGAGTGTAGTCAGATGGCAGTGGGATGCTGTCAGCAGCTGTCGACGCTGCACGTCGCTGATTGTGGGTGTGCTTACAACATGGACTGGTCGCAGGGGAGGCGAGGAGAAGGGGAGGGGGGGTTGTGGAATTCGCGTGTATGGAGCCGACGAGACATGACATGACCCAACCCAGCAAAGACGACACAGACAGGAGGACGGCAGACGGGGGGGGGTGGTCGTCCTCTTTTTTTTTTGTTCTCCCTTTCCCTTTGTGTGAACGTGGATCATTCCTGGAGCAGCCCAAATGGCATCAGGTCCAGTCAAGACCAACACCCGCACGGTCAATGTGTCCCATACCGCCTCAACACACACACACACACAGCGCTTGTACTGGCCGTTTCTGGCCGTTTCAGCCCTGTTCTTCGGCCAATTGTCGTCGTACGCCTTCCTCTTCGGCTTTGGAACCGACAAATGCGGGGCTGCCAGGAGCGATCATGTCCGAGCTGCATCTTCTCGTCGGTGGCTAACATAGTTTTCCAATATGCAAGGGTCCTTGGCGGTCGGTTGGTAGCAGCAAATGTATTTTGAGCTCTAATCCAAGAGAGAGTAGAGCGCGAGCCAAAGACCTAAAATGTCGCCGACTGCAACCCCTCCAACCCAACCCAACCCAGACGCCGCCCGAGAGACAGTAAGCAGCGGCCTCACTGCACTGAGCCGTTTATAGAAATTCCCATGGGGAAAAAGGCAAAAGGTTAAACCACCAAAAAAAATATAGACCACCTTTGGGCGGCCCAGTTAACAGCGGTTTGTAGTTGGATAGGGTATGCCAAAAAAAAAGCCTACTCCAACTGCTGGCCGTGTGTCATTTCTCGTGCTGTTACTACTAGTAGCAGCCACGGGGCGTGCTTGGTGCCATGGACAAGGGGGCATGACAGGGCCCTTTCTCGGGTCATGGTGCCATGCAAGAGGCTCTCTGCAAGCGACCAGGTGTCTTTGGGACGGCGAGGCCCATGTTGGATAATATCTGGTGGCCTCGGGTAGACAAGTTGGCGGGGCACAAATGATTCGCCATGTCCCAGCATGCCACGAGTCTTGGGAGACAAAAAGAGTTGGCACATGGCAGACAGACGCTCGACAAGTCGACAAGGCCGTCCACGATCGACACCCGCCCTCGCTTACACGGCCCAACCTTGCGGCTTTACTCAGCTTGGGCGCGACAGGGATACCAGGCAGATCGTCTTATTAGGTTGAGCGCAGAGCCACTTGGTAAGGCATTTACCAAGCCCTCAGCAACGGCCTTACTCATCCTGAGTCCGCCTGGCTCGTGGTCCCGCCTCAGATGATTAGAAACCTGAAGCTACCCAGACTACGCCAAGCCTGTGCCTATGTCCAAACAATCAAAGTGTAAACCGAAACATGCTTGGTTCCTCTGAATCGTGATTTCCTTTTTTTTCTTTCCCCAAGTATTCAATCATAACTTCTGACCGCCACGGGAAGCCAAGCCTCCGGGGGGATGGTGCGTCGAGGCGGGGGGTTTTTTTCCTATGTGTGTGTGTGTGTGTGTGTGTTGTTTTTTCTCTGCTTGCTCCGTTGCATATAGGCCGTCTCTTGCTCACGAGCCGTGCCTGGGCAGTGCTGGGCCAGCAGAAACGTGCCCGGCAAAGCGTTTCACACATATGCGTATACGCGGTTGCCAGCCGTGCCATGTATGTACAGCCCCCCACCCATCAGACTCAATCCTGAGGCCACTTTGATCTCGTCGACGTGCTATTACCGTCTGCGTTTTGTGGGCAAAGTGTACGTACTTACTTGGGTATGGATTACGTAGTTGGACAGATGGGTCCATGTACAGCACCACAGCAACCCACGACATGACAACAACAACGACATGGACATTACAGCAACCCACATTCAACGAGCATGGGGGGAGGGGAGCCTGGTATATGGTTTGGATAGTCTTTTTTGTTTGCCGCCAAGGTGTGAGGAGCGAGGGCAAGACAGGCCTCCCCCCCCCTTGGAGGAACCAACCCACGGGCCGCACCCTCAGGACCACGACGGCGAGCTCTAAGCCCCTCAGGACGACGTGTACGTGGAACTGGATAGCAGCAGGTATGTGCCAAGGCTTGACTCGTCGCGGCTAACCCATCTCTCTCCTCCGCTGCGGCCAGCGTTTGGCGGTCCTTTCCATGTTTCTTGTGCTGCTCGGCATCGGACCGTCCGCCTTCCGTCCCACCACTGGTTTTGCTCGGCTCCTTTGACGACCCTGCCTCCGAAGGAAAAAAAGCTGTCCCCCTCCCCCCTCCCCCGGCCTACGTATGTACACTAAACTACTACTATCGAAGTAGTAGTAATCAGAATAATAATAACAATAATAGAGAGATGTAGGAACGGTGTCCAGTCAGCCTCGGGTTTCTTTTCACGCGTCTAGGTCTAGACTCGCGTCGTCATTTCTAGTGCACCCCCCCCTCCCCCGGCCTACGTATGTACACTAAACTACTACTATCGAAGTAGTAGTAATCAGAATAATAATAACAATAATAGAGAGATGTAGGAACGGTGTCCAGTCAGCCTCGGGTTTCTTTTCACGCGTCTAGGTCTAGACTCGCGTCGTCATTTCTAGCGCACCCCCCCTCCCCTCTCTGTCTCTTGGACGGCGAGGCTAATCCATGGACATTTGGACTGCCACGCATACTCGCGCGACATGATGTCCATCGATCAATCGATCAAGCACAAGCACACGGCACTGGGACTTGCCTTTTGGTGCTCATATCCGCCTCCCAACACGCAGCCAGCTTGCTGCAACAGAGTAGACGGCGCGGCTATCACGCGAAATGGCAAAAGGCACTTTGCACAGAGCCCCACTGTAAGTAAGTACGTAAGTAAGTAAGCAGGCAAGTAAGTAAGTAAGTAACAGAGTTAGTTTGTAAGGCTGAAAACAAAAAAAAATTGTAGGCCTCGGCAATCAAGTGCACTATAGCCACCCCGGCACCATGTACTCGACGTCCTTCCCACGGGTCGACTTGCACCTGTCTGACTGTTAAGACCAGGGGTCTGGGGGTCTGGGGACGACGGGTTCCAGGATGGCGTCTCAGTTGCGGTGCCAGTCAACACACTGCCTGAACAAGGTGTTGAGCCGAAGGAGACAAAGAAGACAAAAGCTGACTTGTTCTCGCAATCTTGTGGCTTGAATCCTCGTCCCTGTCGCCGTGCCTCGTTCCCCCGTCGGCAAGCTTCCGGCGGTGCTCCCACGCAACGACTTGTGGCTTTCGTTCTGCTGACCATGTGTACATGTGTGTGTGTGTGTGTGCCACTCGGCGGTAACATCCGCGAGGCGACAGTCAACGTCGTGTTGCGGATCATGATCCTCCCGTATGTGCAGCAAGTATACTACCACTACATCCACACACACACACATGTGTGGGAACTCCAGCCCCGAGCGCCGTCATGCTGGCTCCACCACACACACACATTTTGGCTCCATAGCCCATGGTGCCATGTTCGCACGACCAACGGTCTAGACCTCTGCGACTGGTCGCGCGTCTCTCGCCCCAAGGCCATGAGGTGACAATTGTTGAACAGTAGCCATGACGTTGGTGTGGCTTTATTTTATTTTTATTTTTATTCTTAAGTAAGTTATTTTTTTGGGGTATTTTGGCACCACGGCGAGTCTTGAAACCGAGGCGAGGCTGCCACAACGACAGCCATGCAAGCGGCCACCAAGTAAGTGACCCCCCCTCCCCCCTCCCCCTCCCAGGTACCCAGCAACCGCTTTCACCATAGGAGAAAGAGAAAAAAAAAAGAAAGTGTATAGTTTGGGGCTTTTTGCTCTAGAATGTTGCCATGTGTGAGTGTGTGAGTGTGTCCAACTACCGCGTTTCGGGCCAGCATGGCCCATGTTTCGGCCCTGAGTGTCAATCGGGCCCCGAAGCCTCGATGCTCGTCCGAGATCGAGACCGGGGCAAACGGCGTCAGCAATTCTCCATGGCTCCGCTGGGGCTCCCCCAAAATGTTCGAAATACTGCCTGATTCCCGCTTTGCCCGACATACACGCCGTGGTGCGTAGTTTGCGTTGCATGGCTTCTGATTTTTTTTTCTCTTCTTCTTCTCTCTCCCTTTCTCTCCCTTTCTCTCCTTCTCTCATCAGCCTCTGTCAGATGGGCGCCACGTCCTTGGTACCGACTTGTGTGGCCTGCCAGGAAGGTTACCCGGTGTCTTGGTAGATAAGGCACACATACACACACACACACACTCTCTCTCTCTCTCTCTCTCTCTGGAATCAATGCCCAACTTGGACCCCATGCGACACACCAAACAGGCTACTTCAGTATGCTTTGGGCCAAAAGCAGTAGCGATCAACTCTGATTGAAGCGATGCCATTCACGCCCCCCCCCCACCTATGATTCCATCCATCCATCCATCCATGTATGTTGTGCAAAAAAGAAAAAGAAAAAAAAGCCGACCTCTTTTCCCTCGCAACTGCAAGTCTCACACAAACGGGTGGGGGACATTGTCAAAAGCGTCACTCGATGCACGATATACACCGTACCGTGTAAGTAAGTAACTAAGTAAGTACCGGGCTTGTCGATCAAAACTCTCTTCACGCCCTACTGTACAGATTACGCGCGCGCGCGCACATTCTTACCCAGACCTCGCCGACTTGTTCTCATGGACCACCACCATCATCATCATCATCATCATCATCACGTCCTTTCACGTCACTACTCGACGCAAACGGTATGTGTCTGCGAGAAAAGGCGGTACCTTGCGTGTTTTTTTTTTGAAAGGGCTAGTGCGACTATCACACACAAAACTCCGGCACATAGCCCCATCGCGGTAATTCCCCTTCCTTCCCCCCCCACCCATGTCCATCGCCTCCAGACACACACACACACACATACACTCACACACATGTGCATGCAGGTGGCCAAGGGGATCTACGTAACGGATGTGGATGCGCTGTAGCAGTAGCAGTAGTGGTAATAAGTTAGTGGGTACTATATGTACGTACGTTGGTTAATGTAAGTACATAGCACCACCATGCCATGCATAAGTAATGTACATGTACATGGACACAGGGCGATACCCATGTGCTCGAGAGAGAGAGAGAGCGGCAGATGGCTCGGTAATAGCTAGTTAGCTAGGTGCACATGTCAGTCAGTCAGTCCGTCAGTCTATCTTTTCTTTTTTTCCCTAATTAATTATTGAAGCTGAGCCACAAAAGCCCTGATTTTCATACCCCATGGTAAAACCCACGTAGCAGCACAGCACCAGTGCCCAAGCAAGCGAAATTCGTCAGACGCGAATCAATGAGAGAGAGAGAAATAAAATATAAAAAAAAAGTCCGAGCCCGGAGTACAGTCAGTTGGATATTACATGTTTACAAAGAAAAAAGAAGAGGATCGCGAATGGGGGGGGGGATTTGCTGATCGTCGGGCAGGCCGGCCACGTGTGATTCGTCACGGTTAAGCAATCCGGGCCATATGAAGCTGATCGACGCTTGGGGGGTGTCGTGCGAGATCCCCCAGAATCGGTCCTTTCTCAGTGGCTCGATAAGCTAATGGCTAATGGTGGGGGGGGGGACTGGAAATATATTACGTCGATAAGTGGCTGAGCCAGCCATCATCATCATCATCATCATCATCACGATACCATCATGTACGTACCTATGTATGTGAACTTTTTTTTGGCACACGAGGCGGGCTTGCGTCACAAGTACAAGCGTCTTTTTTTGCGCGCACGCCCTATCTTTCGCCTCGGTTTTGAGTTTGGTACATACGTGTGTGTGTGTGTGCGCAGTCAATCAGTCACAGTATTGGATGCATGACTGACTGACTAACTGACTCTCCATACTCGACTCGAGTCGGAATACAATTGCTGATTGGGCCAGCAGGACCCGCAGGGCTGAAAGGCAAAATGAATAGATAAAAACGTCTTGTTTTGTTCCCAGCTTGCGAGCCGCCTTGTCAGTTGGTCGGTCGGTCAGTCTGTCAGTTAATCTGAGACGGGTGTGTGCCTTTTCAACCGGGGGGTGGTGGATTGGCCATGTTTTTCTGCGCTAGGCCTGCCCCAAAAATAAAATAAAATGCCGCGCATGCTGCTCTTTGTGTGCCTGTGCTGCTGTATGTGTGTTAATCTGCTTGCTGTTTGGTTCCTTTCTGACTGCCGACACTTTTTCGCGTTTCTGACCACCCGTCCCCCCCCAAAGTTCTGACTGTGCAACCCGCGCCAATCCACGTGGTCGGGCAAATGCGCAGCACACTGTGGCTGGCTAGCTAGCTGGGCTGGCTGTGCGTGCGCGTGTGCGTGCGTGCTCGTACGAAACCATACGGCGACTAATACCATTTATTCTGTTGCCAAAATTGCTCGTATTCTGCTCAGAACCGGGTGCGTGCCGGTAAGTACTTAGTTACAC